AAACATTAACTACACTTTATAAGCAAATAACATCATCCTACAAACAGCAACATCAGACACACATAAGGGCTAAAGATCATTGATTAAGCCTTGAAGTTATCCAGCAGTGACGATTCATGGATGCAAGTTCACAAAAAGAAGCACAAGTTGAAATATCGGCCACTGGTCCCAATTTTAACATACACACAAACTTTACAATGGTATGGGAACATTCACCACAGAAAATGGTGTCATATATCGACGCATGGTTCACTACGGTAGACAAGCATCAGAACAAGCGCCATTGACCCCAAGTCTAACGCACACCCAATAGCTTTGAATGGCGTGGGAACATTCAGTATACTTCAAAACAGCCTCCTACTTCGGCTTCGCGTCTGGTTCTGAACATTGCTACTGCTTTGGCCATGGCTATCGCCCCAATGTTCATGTCTCTCATTGCAGCTTGGGCCGACACTTCGACTGCGGTTTCTGCAGGGAATGCTGCCTCCTGTTCCTTGATTGGGAATGCGTGCTTTAAAGCTGATGTAATCATTGCCATTGCAATCATCTCGATAACCACTTTGAGACCTGCAAAATACAATGACAGATACATTTACAAATGTAAGTCAACTTTAACGGAGAAATCTTCAAGCTTTCTAATTGTACTGATAAGGCAATTTATACCACGGAGTTCTTTCTATTAATGATAATAAAGTTATTCATTTAATTCCATTATCAACTGCAGCATTATAACCGGCACTCCGCCACCGAGATTTTTCACCGTATCCACCACGAGATGTCATATCCTGCAATTCCAAAGTAGCGCCTGCCCTTCCTGTTCGCCCAATTCTGTGAACATAAATCTCCGACATAGTAGGAGGCATTACAATATTCACATCTTAATTTTTTTTTTTTTTACCGAATCACATCTTTTCGAATAATAGTCGAATAAATAACTTAGAAGAATCATTAACTCTATCAGGTAGAAAAAAGTTTGCTCTCCGAATTCGGGGTTATTCTGAAAATCAAAAAATAAATAAATTTATTATTTTAAAAATTAAAAATATTTTTTTTAATAATGCTAAGTAGAAACCGTTATAAACCAACTAAAAATAAATATATGATAAAAAAAATTAATCACCCCATTGATATATATTAAATATTTGAAAAAGTATTCTCTCAACGACGGATGAGAATACTTTAACGAACTGGATGAGATAACTAGAACTCAATTAAATCGATCTCTAATACTTATTTAATTGATTTGGAACAATCATACACTAGTATGATTTAGATTATATTTAGTTCAATTTAAGTTAAAATGATTTGAATAAATCTAACTAATTCAAAATCATTTTGAATCGATATAGACTAATCAAAGTCTAGTTTAAACTAATCAATATTTGAGCTCAAATCCAATGATTACATAATTGAGTTAGGTTGGATCGACCCATATACTGGTTATATGTACTATATATAACTTTGCATGCATCGCATCAGGTTGGTTTAACTCATAGCCCATGAACTAATCATGTGTGTCGCACATGATAGTCCATATTAGGTCAGCTCAATTAGCTTGTGTGCTAAGGCCTAATCTACGGGTTAGACTCGATATATTGATTGGGCCTAACTAGTGGATTGTGGCCTAACCCATGAGTTGGGCTTAGCCGGGCTATTTCAACCTAATTCTTATAAAATTTCATCAATATTAAATCGTGACAATGTATATTCACTAACAATAATATATTAAAAAATATATAATAATAGATTAAATAAGATGAAAAGATAAACTTCAATAAAAGAAAATAACATTCTTAATTCAATAATAATTAAAAGTTATATATATTCAATATATATGACATGAATAATTTCAACCTAATATAATCAAACAATAAAATTCTAAATCTTAAAAGGATAAAAAATAGAAAAAAACTCAGATAATATATTTTAATCTAACAATAATATTTAAAGGACTGAGAAATATTTTTGAACTTCATACAGTATATTTTATCCTAAAAAAAAATAAAATCTCTCCCATTAAATAGAAGGAGATGAGCCCTTCCTTCAAGGATTTTTTTTAATTATCATATTTATTTATTTTTAATTTTTATTCAATATATTAACAAATATGACTTCATTCTATCCGAAATACTTAATAGTTATTTTCTATATCATAACGATAAATAAATAAATAAAAATTAATATTTTTTAAATTAAGATACCAAGCAAGAAAATAAAATTTGATTTCTAAATTAGGACTGCAAGGTATCATCTCAAATTTTCAACAGATATAACTATACTAAAAACATAGATAACATGCAAAATATGCATTGAATTAATAGGACATCTCTCATTCCAAAAAAAAAAAAAAAAACTACAACATGAAATAGAAGATAAATAAGAAGAAAAAAAATGTAATAGGTGAATGGGAGACCAACTATAGTTTTTATAATTTTTTTTTCACAATGTCATCAGTTTTCACTTTCGATCTTTTTTTCTAATGGAAACTATTATTATTTTATTTTTTATTTTCAAAATAGGAGATAACATTCATATTATCTTTTTACATAATATCTCATATCTTTTATAACTGACTCAATTTGGCCTTAGTTTAAGCCTAATGATCTTATTTATAAATTGACATGGTTTTAACCTAATACCAATTCAAATTGATCTCGATTAAAACTTTAATAAGTCAACTACATATATGATATATTTAGAAGTTTTTGACATGTTGAATACTATTCCAACATGTCTTTTGATCTTCCGATACTTTGTTCAAACCTCTAGCATATTGCTTGTTCCAACAACAATTCAACTTTCTAACGATATATAATCTTTTGATACGATATCTGATTTTTCTATCACAATGCTCGAATCTTTAGCACAAAGTCTGACTTTTAGCATATCGATCAATCCTTTAGCTTGATGTATAATTTTTAACACGATAATTTTTCGGCACGATGTTCGACCCTCTTACTCAATAATTGATAATTCGATGGTCTCAGTCCATGATCAAAGTATTTCTTACGTCACTTCTCTCAAAAATATATTAATCTAATAAACTTATCACTTAATTTCATCATCAAAATATAAAATTCAATACAACATTCTTTAGATTTATTAGAAACAATCACAAGAGCACCTACAATGTAATTATTTATTAGATTCCATTATTTTTCTTATGCGCCGAAAAGCGTTCGAACAAGTTTATTATCCTTGCAGATATTACATTAGAGTTGCTAACTAAAGGTTGAAGGGACTTGGTTTTCATTCGTGTTAAATCTCTCGGTTGCTCCCATTCCTGTTCTTTCTTTTTCCATAAACTTCCCGAATCTTTGTCTCAAGAAACATCATCAATTCTCTAACATAGTCATCTGCCTACGTGAAGAAACATGTTCATATATCGGATATAATCTCGACTGTTTCAGCTACCCATTATTGTTAAAAAACAAGGAACGCACAACTACACAGGATTTACCGATTCAAGGGAGACAAGTGACGCCTCGAGATGAAACATATGTCCGGAGAATAGATTAGAAACACAAAACGTACGTAGAAACATCTTACGTACGCTAGAAAAGGTTTTGATGAGTAATATTGTATGTATTGAATAGTACATGAGAAACAATTCATTCCTTATTCCTCGCGAGACAATTCCCATACGAATCTCTACTTCATACCATTGAATGCGGAGTACTTTGGAGGAGGCATCGTGATTGAGACTAGACAGGGCACTGAATGAGCACTGTGACCTGTCTCCCCCATCAATGGTGGTGGACCTGCTAATTTATGTTTTTGATCTCATTTGTTCGGCTCCATGAGTTAAAGATAACTCCCAACCATTCAACTCTCTTCTCTGACATCTACCATTATTCCACCACCAGCTTTCGATTCGAAGGGGACTGCTTTTTCTTTTATTTTAATTCTCAGTTCAGAAGATACCACCTCACCGTTATTATCTTCTTCTTCTCCTTCTTCTTTAACCTAAATAAGTTATCTATACTTTTAGAGACCAAACATACATTAAAAAAAAAAAAAACACATGATATTCCTAAGAAAATCAAATGTAGGTTTTCCCGATCAAACCGTTCTTTATACATATGTACGAAAGATCTTATTTTATCGTCTCTCGAAAAATATTAAGTGTAGCAATGAATTTTCATACCGATAAGACTTGGGATTTGCAAACGACACGAGAAGCGATTTGCAAAAGAATACCGGCTCGCAAACTTAATAGATGGGCCAACCTATTTATTTTCCAACATGGAATTCATGGCAAATTAGTTGGGAAGTCGCCATAAAAATACCAACGTAAGGAGGAGAGAGAGAGGGGGTGAACGCTTGCTTGTCCATCCAACAATCATTGGAACGTATTCTAATTTTTTCTTACTATCTATCAGAGCTGCTATGCTCCATCGAGTCCATTGAAAGTAGACATAGGCGAATGCTATACATAAATGCTGCCATCAAGGAGAAGGAGGACTGCGTGATTCATTTGGGTACGCAGATCAGTTACCCTCAAGAAGTCCACTGGCATTATGTATCTTCTCGCCTTCCATTATCGATCGGATTTGCCAAAGATATTTCAGGTTCATCGTCGTCGTAGAGGGCAAAGGGACACAAGACGGACGACCTCTCTAATTTCCTACAATAAATGCCACCCCTATCTCGTGTGACAGTGCGGCAGACAGCTTGCGCCCGTTGTAATCGGAGGCTGACTGCTGCTCTCGACGGATAAAGGTAGCTTTCATGAATTTATGATCGCCGAGCTCTACTTTTCCACCGTGATCTCAGTAAGTATTCCAACTCACCTTTAAGGTTACCTCACCCTCATGGAGAGATGCCATTGCCTAACCGGAACGAGTAGAGAGAGAAGTCATAGATTTTGACCTCTCTCCTTATCCAGAATTAGTGGAAAATACAGAATTTAGTAGGCTCATTGCAACAAAACAAATTCCCACAACCAGTAATAGAAATATCAGCCACTTGGATTTCCATGCACTGCGTGATGTTTCCTACACCATTCTTCTTATAAAAATGGGACACATATATAATCGTCCAATTCATCCTTCGTCCGCCCCGCCTCTCCCTCATGGCCATGACCAAGGAAGTCAATCTTACCCCCTTCAGTAGCCCCAGCCCCCTCCTCGGCCACCAGTACTGCCACCACCCCCTGGCCACAGCCGCCGCCGTCGATCCATGCCACTTCGTCCTCTCCTTCACCGATCTGTCCTACAGCGTCAAGGAGCCTCGCAGCTTCCCGTTCTTCCGAAAGAAGAACAACGAAACACGGCCGGAGGCGCTCCGTGGAACCAGGAAGCTTTTGGACTCCATCTCCGGCGAGGTGAGGACGGGCGAGATCTTGGCGGTGCTCGGCGCTAGCGGTTCCGGGAAGACCACCCTCATCGACGCACTGGCGAACCGCATCGAGAGGGCTAGCCTCCGAGGATGCATTACGCTCAACGGCGACAGACTCGAGGGCCGCCTCCTCAAGGCGATATCGGCATACGTGATGCAAGACGACCTCATGTTCCCAATGCTCACCGTCGAGGAGACCTTGATGTTCGCGGCCAAGTTCCGGATACCTCGCTCGGTTTCGGCATCCAAGATGAAGGAGCGCGTGCAAGCGCTCGTTGATCAGCTCGATCTCCGGTCGGCCGCGAAGACCATCATCGGCGACGAAGGTCACCGCGGCGTGTCCGGGGGTGAGCGCCGCCGGGTGTCCATCGGGACCGACATCGTTCACGACCCCATCATCCTCTTCCTGGACGAGCCCACGTCGGGGCTTGACTCCACGAGCGCTTTCATGGTGGTTCAGGTCTTGCAGAGGATCGCTCGCAGCGGGAGCATGGTGATCATGTCAGTGCACCAGCCGAGCTACCGAATCCTTGGCCTCCTAGACCGCCTCATCTTCCTCTCGCGCGGCCAGACGGTGTACAGCGGGCCCCCGCAAGGCCTCCCGGAATTCTTCGCCGTCTTCGGCAACCCAATACCCGACGGCGGGAACCCAGCCGAGTTTGCACTGGATCTCGTCCGCGAGCTGGAGGACACAGCTCCTGACGGCGCCAAGGACCTCGTCACGTTAAACGCCTTGAATCATCAGGCACGAGCACGGACGTCCGCCACCGCCGCCACAGGATCGTGCCTCCCACTGCAGGAGGCTGTGAGAAACAGCATCGCGACTGGCAAGCTCGTATCCGGCGCGATGATTGACGGCGCTGCACTGGCTTCATACGCGAACCCGTTCTGGGTCGAGGTTTCGGCTCTAACCAAGAGGGCGATTATAAACATGTGGCGGATGCCGGAGATCTTAGCCTTCCGCCTCGGCGACATGCTCGTGACAGGCTTCCTGCTCGCGACCATCTTCTGGCGTCTCCGCGACACGCCCAAGGATGTTCGAGAGCGGATCGGCTTCTTCGCCATCACCATGACGACCATATTCTTCACAAGCGGCGACACTCTCGCCGTCTTCATTCAAGAACGATACATTTACATGCGGGAGACGGCCTACAACACGTACCGCCGCTCGTCTTATGTCGTCGCCAACGCTGTCACCACTTTTCTGCCCCTGGTCTTCCTCACTATTCCCTTGGCGTTCATCACATTCTTCGGGGTAGGCCTCTCCGGAGGCATGGACGGACTCGGCTTCTTCTTCTTGACTATCTTGGCGACATTCTGGGCGGGCAGTGGGTTCGTGACCTTCCTCTCAGGCATCTTATCGCACGTCGTGTTAGGTTACACCGTGGCAGCCGCTGTGATCTCCTACTTCCTGCTGCTCAGTGGCTTCTTCATCAACAGGAATCGGATACCGGACTACTGGATCTGGCTCCACTACATGTCGCTGGTGAAGTATCCTTACGAGGCAGTAATGCAGAACGAGTTCAGTAAGGATTTGTCCAAGTGCTTCGCTAGAGGAGTAGAGATGTTCGACGGCTCGGCGCTGGGGAGCTTGCCGACGGCAAAGAAGGTGGAAGTCCTTACAGTGATCGGCCAAACCTTGGGGATGAACATCACTAACGATACTTGCATAATCACCGGGTCAGATGTACTGCAGGAACAGAGCATTAATCAGCTCAACAAATGGAGCTGTCTCTTGGTGATCGTGGCTTGGGGGTTCTTCTTTAGATTACTATTCTACATTAGTCTGCTGCTGGGGAGTAGGAACAAGAGGAAGTAGTTGACTGTTAAGGAAATAATGAGAAGTAAAAGGTAGAATATGCGAGGAATGGAGAAGAAGTGGAGGAAGAAATTTGACTGCAAATACAAGTAACCCACGAAAAGGGTCCCAGAAAATATAAGTAACCCTGGTTAGCTGGTTAGCACAAAATGATGCAATACAATGTGAGCGAGCATACATGACCGAGGGTTTTGGATCATTTATTAGGGTTTTCATTTCTGGGATCTGAGTAATTCTTTTGTATGTTTTTCTTTTAAATTAGAAATAAATATTTTTTTTATATGATCTTATAATATATATATGTGATAAGCTCATTTAGTCTGTGTACCTCGGTTACGAGTCATTAGCTCTTTTACGAGAGGGAGCACTGATAAAATCATTTAGTCTTACATTGATCGAAGAGTATTATAAATCAAAGACTCATAAGTTCACAGTCCGAATAATTCTTCTTGAATCTATGGATTGCACAAATGATCGATCGATCAGGGCTAGCACTAATTCGACGGAGAGAGCTCCTTGTCTCTGTAATTGCTCGGCCGACGGAGGAATGGGAGAACGAGCTTCCCGTCTCTTCGGTTCGGTGAACTAGTAGGCTTGGCAATCAAGACACTCGTCGAGTTTGGTGAGGAGTTATGGCACGTAATAAATGGATGGTTGATGCAATGGGTGGTAAGAAATAGACCGTCAAGAGACATCTCCTGGCACCGCAGCACCCCAGCTAGCTGTCGAGACTCCTTCGGATCATGCGCCATAATTCGTCTCATGTACGTATAGAATAACTTTACCTTTATAAGTCTAGAAAATGTTTATAAGATTTAATCTTATTGAAAATGAAATAAATTAAAAGCGATAAAGTGTGCAGGAACACTGTCTTCTAAGAAGACTTTCTCATAATTCTCCAACAGACAACTACTACCGCCCACCGTAATCAATGCATGTCGTGATCCATCTTCCGGAGAGGTAACTAATAGATCTTTCGATGTTGCGACTCGATGATCCACCGCATACTCGAAAGCAAGGTTTGGAGGCCACAGCAGAGCTGATGGTTTCCTACGACCACAACGCCGGCTGTAGATTCATGGAATGCACTCGATTCGTGAGTGAGAACGAGACACCAACAAATGCTTGATTCGATCGATGGAACAAACGCATGGGGTATTAGGATTTATATTTAGCTGCCCCGAAACCAACTACAATTAGTAATAATAAGGAAGCTTATCCGACCGCAAGCACCCATAGCAGCGTTTCCTCCTCCCCCATCCCATTCTTCCCAGGTGGACTCCCTCTTTTGAGACTCGTCTCCTTTCTTGTTTGCTATAAAGATGGGAAAGCAGCGCAGCACCATCGACGCTGTCGGTTGTCCATGACCCATCCTTCCTTGTTCCACCGTCCACCCTCTCCTCCCATGGAACATCAACCTCATCAACCCACCAGCCACAGCAACAGCAACAGCCACAGCCACAGCCACAGCCACAGCCCCAGCCCCCTCCTTGGGCCCCATCACCACCCCCGCCACGGCGGGGACGATGATCCATCTTATCTTGACGACCTAGTGGTCGAGCTCCCACAGTTCCACTTCGTCCTCGCCTTTTGCAATCTCTCTTACTCTGTATGGAGGTCTCGGAGAATCTCATGCCACCGGATTGCCGCGGCGGACCCGGAGCAACCCCCAGCTGGAAGGAGAGTTCTTTTGGATTCCATTACCGGCGAGGTAAGGACAGGGGAGATCTTGGCGGTGCTCGGGGCGAGCGGCTCCGGCAAGTCCACCTTCATCGACGCACTGGCGGACCGGATAGAGAGGACCAGCCTCCAAGGAAGCATCACGCTAAACGGGGAGAACCTCGACAGCGGGCTCCTCAAGGTGATCTCCGCCTACGTGATGCAGGACGACCTCCTGTTCCCGATGCTAACCGTGGAGGAGACCCTGATGTTCGCGGCCGAGTTGCGGTTGCCTCGCTCGTTCTCGGCGTCCAGGAAGAGGGAGCGAGTGCAAGCGCTCGTCGACCAGCTCGGCCTCCGGTCAGCCGCCAAGACCATTATCGGCGACGAAGGCCACCGCGGCGTGTCAGGTGGCGAACGCCGCCGGGTGTCCATTGGCACCGACATCATCCATGATCCCGTGATCCTCTTCCTCGACGAGCCCACGTCGGGGCTCGACTCCACGAGCGCCTTCATGGTGGTCAAAGTGTTGCAGAAGATCGCACGCAGCGGAAGCATCGTGGTCATGTCGGTGCACCAGCCGAGCTATCGGATTCTCACTCTCCTCGACCGCCTCCTATTTCTTTGTCGTGGCCAGACGGTCTACAGTGGGCCCCCGCATGACCTCCCTGGCTTCTTCCGGCAGTTTGGCCGTCCGATCCCTGAAGGTGAGAACGCAACTGAGTTCGCCCTGGATCTCGCCCGTGAGCTCCAGGACACTAACGCCGGCGCCGCGGCCCTCGTCGACTTCAATCGGCGGTGGCAGACTCGTCCATCAGCATTGGTCGCCGCCGACATAACCCCACTGTCGCTGAGAGATGCCATGAGGATTAGCGTTTCGCACGGAAGGCTTGTCGGCAGCGTGAGCGTCGCCGACAACGTTGCCCCGGCTTCGTCGTTGCAGAAGTTCGCCAACCCAGCCTGGAAGGAAGTGCTGGTGCTGTCGAAGAGAGCGTTCATGAACATGAGGCGGATGCCGGAGATCTTCGCGATCCGCCTCGGTACCGTGCTCGTCTCCGCCTTCATCCTGGGGACCATCTTCTGGCGACTCGGCGAGTCGCCCAAGGACGTCACGGAACGGCTCGGCTTCTTCGCCATCGGCATTACGACAGTCTTCTTCACGTGCGCCGACGCCCTCCCAGTCTTCATCCAAGAACGCTACATCTTCATGCGTGAAACGGCCTACAACGCCTACCGCCGCTCGTCCTACGTCCTATCCAACGCCATTGTTGGCATCCCGGCGCTGATCCTACTATCCGTCGCCTTCGCGGCGTCGACCTTCTTCGCGGTCGGCCTGGCCGGAGGAGGGGAAGGGCTCATCTTCTTCTTCCTCATCATACTGGCGTCCTTTTGGGCAGGCAGCGGATTCGTGACCTTCCTCTCCGGCGTCCTGTCGCACGTGGTGTTAGGCTACACGGTGGCAGCGGCGATACTGTCCTACTACCTGCTGTTTAGTGGCTTCTTCATCAACAGGAATCGGATACCCCACTACTGGATTTGGTTTCACTACCTTTCCATGTTGAAGTATGCTTACGAGGGAGCGCTGCAGAACGAGTTCGGTGGCGAATCGTCCAAGTGCTTCTCAAGAGGGGTTCAGATGTTCGACGGCACGTCCATTGGGAGCCTACCCATGGAGACCAAGGTGCAGGTTCTTGGAGCGATCAGCAAAACACTGCAGATGAACTTGACCAGCGACAGCTGCATCGTCACAGGGCCGGATGTGCTGCAACAGCAGAGCATTAATCAGCTCAACAAGTGGGAGTGTCTGCTGGTGACTGTGGGCTGGGGATTCTTGTTTAGGATTCTGTTCTACATCACACTCCTGCTGAGCAGTAGGAACAAGAGGAGGTAAGATGATCGAACAAGTCAGGCATACATGGAAGAACAAGTAGTCCTCTTGTTGAGCTGCATTTCTTCTTCTAAACGCATGAAGTTTCACTATGTAAGTGTTGGATAATTCTAGGCGTTCTGTTTTTGTTCCTTTGACTTCGTTTGTGGCCTGGTGGCTGATGAAATTTGAATCAAATAAATTGGGATTAATTATATATTATCACTGAGCACTTGTGATGTCTCTCCTAACACAGTCGATTTTGTTGATAGAAATATCACACGTGCTTAAGTAATAAATCTTACGATATTTTCGTTAGCAACTACACGAGGAGAAACATAATTAAATGTTTCATTTTCATATGTACAGATATCTCAATATCATCTTAATATCATCTTTGAAAGTATAAAGATCGAAATACTAATGATAATTAATTATATTAGATAATTTATCATTAATCTAATAAATTATTATTTTGAGATCATCGTGATCGGTGTTCCTCTCGAAGATAAACCTAGCCATGTTTGGAAAGTCCAAGATACAAGCCACACAACCAAAAATAGAAAAAAAATAATTATTGATCTCCACTGTTACAAATTCTATCTTGTTTGATTATCGTTCTCTTTAGCTCCTACTATAAATAAAAAACCTTCTCCTAATCCAATTAGGAAAATCAACTAAAACTAAGAATCTAAATTATCATAATACACCAACTCAAGGTTAGACAAAGTAAGTGTAAGACCCTTTTTTTTTAGTACTTTCTTATTATGATTTTTATATGTTTCCTCGTCAAACTTACAAATTGAGCAGAGAAAAGATTGACGGATAAAAGAAAAAGATGATCGCAATATAGAAAAGCAAGAGAGGTAAGTTCGACCCAAATTTTCTTTTTTCCTATACATAAACTTGATAAATCAATATTTTATTATTATTGGTGTTAACAAAAAAATTTATGAGAAATTATTCGGAGTCCGTGTGATTTTATCATTTTGGGATGAGCTCTAAAAAAGATGTTTAAGGGTAAAAATAATGTTAGATGCTTATAAATCTTTGATTGTCCCATTTTTCAATTAATATGAAATTAAATATACTTATCCGTCCGACCGTAATCTTTATACTGTAAAGAGATACCTTATTATGCGACTTAAAATCACTAACCTTTTTTCCACCTCTTATCCGGTTGTCTTTAAATCCTTGTAAGCTAATCAATACGTGAAAATGATTCGTGGACACACGAAAGACAACAGAGCTTACAACTTTCATCACATCATGCTTTCGGAAGAGCAACTCTTCTCAAATTATTGTGGTCAGGAGAATCCACATACAGGAGAATCAGGGAAGAGAGGTGTCCCCCTTTTGGATGCCACACCAATGCCAGTTTGGCACCGAGTTAGATATCCAATCAATCCTGCGTGTCAACATTAATTATGACACGCGATGGTTCAAGCGCATGTCCAACATCCGTTAGAAATCAGCGGTTGCATGAATTGTAAATAAAAAGGCTCTATGAACACTTGTTGAACCATCTAACATATGGCACTTAGTATACATTGACATATTCCCGACTTAATAGTTCTTGTGACAAAGCTGATCTTGAACCAGCTAATTAGCTTTTGCAATACTCACTAAGACAACCAGGTGATTGGTGTTTCACATATTTATTATTTTAATTTTGAAAGGAAAAACTAGAGCAAGAAATCTTTTTTGTTTGAAATCCTCTCATTTCTGCGATGGGAGTAAGTTGGGGCTACTCGTCATGTTTCAACATGAAAGAGGTCATGACACGATCATGTCACTTGTTGCATGGTCACCTATGATGGTTATTTTTTAGGTTGACTATGAGCGCATCATCATCGACCAAAGTTTTATAGCTAGATTAGTTAACCTTCGAATCCGCTATGGTTAATTAATGTTAACCTTCACTCACATCGTTCGAAGGATGCCACCTTCACTCACATCATTCGAACGAAACTCTTTGTGACTGATTTACTCTTGTAATTATAGTGAGACATTTCTTCGTGGCTAATTCAATTGATGAGACGTTCTATGTATTTGTCTTGTGTTATACACACTGTAGTCATTTAGATATGCATGGCTATAGGCGTGCTGCTTTAATTATAATCTTTGATTTGATTCGATTTGATTTCTATTGATTCGTGATAGTTACCTTGGCGATTCATAGGTATGGACGAATCGACATCAGTGCTAAGTTGAATTGTCAGGGATCCAAGAGAGTCGTGATCTCGATGATCAACATGGTAAAGAATCTCGTATATACATTGCTAAGCAACGAACATGATGATACTTCGAGGAGATACAAACTACTAGCAGAAAGCATCTTTCATATCGAATAATTATTGGACTGGAAGAGTGATGACAACATAAAATCAATTCGATAGAGATAGAAAAAGAGAAGAATGAAAAGGTCTTACAGAGGATCCTTCCTTACCTCTTCTTTTAACAGCTATGCACACCAGAAATGACCATAAAACAGATACTGAAGCAGATTCCTACTAAATTAGTCGAGATGCAATAGAACTCGAGTATATCGTCCGAAACAAAGTCCATAACTCACATTGTAGCTTCCATAGCACAAATTAGTTTGAACTGTTTCAATGGTTCTCAAGTGAATTTGGGGACCTTGCATTTTACAGCAGCAGCAAAATGGTGACTTTATAGTGTCTTGCATACGATAACAATAATAATAATAATAATAATAATAATAATCTTTAGCATTTTACCAATGTGGCATGAACTGAAACAAATAGCAGAATCTTATATCAGCTATGTGATATGAATTGTCGTCGACACTAAAGCCTCACTTGTCATTGATCAGCTCCAACTTATCAAGCTCTTATTGAAGTTTACTTGTACTTTGCAAGTTTGGATTGATAAAACCATACATATATCACCGAGCAAGACTCATTATGGTCGATACATCATCGATATAAACGTTCCAAATAGTGCATAACCAAAATAATCGAAAAGGATGATGTTCTAGCGAGCGTTGTACATACATTTAACAGCAACTGGTGTCTAAACTTGATTGCTCTGGCGGCAAAAGGCTGCTCCACTGGAGTTTCCCTGGCTAACTAGAATCCTCATAGAGTATAGCAATTGCACTTTGATATTTCTTAGGGCATCAAGAACATCCTGCACTTCTTTGACCTCTGGTCTGCAGGCCTCTAAGTTCAGCTGTACGCTTGCTGGAACGATAGCGAGCCTTCTGTCCTCTCTCTCAGCCTGACGGATTGCTGTCTCTGGCTCGGCATCACTACCTGAAGTTATGCTGTTTCAAGATGAAGTGGTCATTTAGCAACAATGAGAAGCTCAAATGCAAAGCAACTTACCTTGGAAATAGGAATTTCTCCTTCATTTTTTGTGCATAACAATTGATATCGAACTACAATTATAACTGCCACTTCTTATCTAAACCAAACTGAACTTGATTTCATAACTATGATTGTTCATGCAACGACCCTGATATAAACCCACAACGGTCTATCCTACGAAAGGACTCAATAGGTTATCTGATGACAGATAGTGACTCATTTATTATATAAAATCATAATTTCTCCTTCCCTATAATTTTAAGCTGAAATTAATTTGCTAGCAAAAGCTCATCCTCTTTTAATCGGTTTCATAAATAAGATTATTTATCCCATGGCCCTTTTACAAAACTATACGGATGAATCCCCAAGAAAGGTACTCAGAATGTGGTTTTAAGTATGTCATGCTATCGAAAATCTTGTCTTTAAAATTATTTTTAGTATCACAACTTCCTTTACTCATATGAAATCAATCATACGGGTCAAACTCCCAAAGAGTCTTTCAGCTCATACTCAATGTGGAACTATCTTAGAGTATCATCTTTGCACCGGAAAGATATTTAATGTTTACACCTAAATCACAAGCCTGATACTATGTGATACAGTATCTAATTTAGCCTGACGGTGAAGACTTAATGTTTTTGTGGATACAAGCTAGTCCTGCTGCCAATACTTTTTAAAGTCCAGAATCTAAAGAAAAGTTCATAACACGCATGTGATTCTAGAGTCAAGATCTACCTAACTTTGAGCCAAAGCCTTTGCCATATTAATATAACCTTGAAGTAAACGAAATGCGTGTGAGTAATTGTGCTCATGCAAGTACAGTAGGATTCTTTAGCATAAATGAATTGGACTTTCAGCAAGACTGTGTCGCAATCCATAACTTCATAATACTATGGGCTCAGTTAGAGTCGACGCACATCAAATTAACATATTATGTAAACTTTGCGACCTGTTGCTCAATTTGTTCACAGAACCAATCGTTGATGTACTTGAACAGATCCCTGTTTCACACAGTATCTAAGAGTAAGACTAATAAATTTGATCGACCAATAGATAGTAAGCTACATTTAGATATAAATTTGTTTCAGATTGCTTAACCTCTAAAATTTACGTCTCCGTCTATTCATTCCCTTTGTTTCGTTTTAAATGGAGTAGGTTTTGACTGAGCAAGGTAGTAAATGACACATATATAATTCATAATCAAAAGGAAATGTCATAATCATAAAAGAGCATTAGATTAATTTTTGCACAAGGCCTCTTGAATCCACATTTGTTGTGCATGCAGTCTTTCCTTATCCCAAAAACAAGCGTCTTTAGATCTCGTTCAGTATATGCTAGTACTGTTCAAGCAAACAGCTGTGCAGTTAGATGCCAAGAGAATGAACAATGGAGGAGGAGAAGCAAAATCGAAGAATATAGGATGAAATCTAATGCTCTTTTCGACCTTTCACTTAACGTACCTCATATCGTCAGCAGGCGATGGCTGAGCACCGATGACTTGAATACCGTCTTCGTTTTGAGATTGGGCAGTTCCGACGGAACTGCAGCTCCTTTCATCTTGAGAAATCAACGGTTGATGTAAACAGATGGAAGAGCTACCAGTTCCAGAAACATTATCTCCAAGAAGATGTTCAGAGCTCGAGGATCTCAGCATCTCTTTCGCCACTTCCATCGAACCAAATTGTTGGGAATCCACCGTCGACAGTGCACCAGGTTTTTCCTGTTCTAGTCTTTGTGGGCTCAAGAAGCACTGGGAAGACGAAGAACTAGAGGAGCTATCCTGAAGGGTCAATTGGCTCCTCGCATCTTTCAGGGCTTCCAACTTCTTTAAAGCGAGTTTGAGCCTCTTCTCAGCTCTGTTCCTGCATTTTGTCTCTTCATCCAGCTTCCTTTCTAGCTCTTCCAACTGTCAACAAATCACATAACGATACTACATACTGATAATAACAAGATAATTGACGAGGCCAAGGAGGAGTTCCTTTTTCTTTGAACCATCATACCCTTTTAGCCAGGCTCTCTGCTTCCGTCTTGGCAGCCTTGGAAGCTACTCTTTCTGCAAGAAGCCTTCCCCTTAAACAGTCTACAGTCCTCAGTCTCTCACCCTCTGATTCCCCCATCATAGCCCTTTCCAGGATTAACAACAGCAACAACAACAAAATGGAAAAGAGGACGCTCTGTCAGTTGAGTATATATCAGAACGAAGATCATGGAACTCTGCAGAGAAGAAGAAGAAGAAGAAGAAGAAGATGATGATTTTTTTCTACCTGCATTGGTTGCTAGAAGCTAGCATCCCGTCGTGCGAAGGAGACACTGTTCTCCGATGTGTCCTTCCAAGTGCTCGATGCGGGTGTCGATCCCTTGGTAAGGAATCCCAGCGTGCGGCTGGGAAGGCACATCTCTTCCCGTGTCTTTTTCTGTACCTTCATTTGTCCGGAGCAAGCAACAGTAGTAGAAGGGAGGGTCACGATCTGATGAACACATCGCAGACATTGGATTTCGAAATTTGAGCATTCAAATCTAGGCAGCGTGATCACGTGAGTACAGTGCTGATATTTTGTACTTGACGTGTCATCTTAACTTCAGGGGTGTAGTATCCAATACCATACCACATCACACCCGATGGGTGAAGACGCCGACCGAAGTCGCCCATACGCTGCGTTTCGTTCCAAGCATTTGGATGCCCATTGTAACAGGAACAACGGAACCACCCAAAATTGCGATGATCACGTTTTTTAATGGTGTTATGGGCAGATTCAAATCTAACATCCAACTGTGATGATCGTTGTTGCAGTTGACAGTTATGTAACATCTGTAGCAGACAATTGTCATTTTCCAAAACCACTAACTATTACAGTAATAGAAGTAACAACGAGCACAATATGGTTTCTGGTTATGATATGAATTATGATCAGTATTGTCTTCAGCATGTAAGGATCATTGCAGTCGACGATAGAAGGATTGTAACCTAACAAAGCACAACCAAAGCACAGGTAGGTACCCTACGCTCTGTCAAACGATCTGTATCGACAGATGTCAATTTATCAACTAGCATGCAATCCCCATAAGCAACTGCACAGATTTGCAGGAAAACAAAACAAAAAGAAATATCAACCACTTGGTTAAATAATCTGCAGAAAGTAATGGCGAGCATGCTAATTTCTGACACGGAAGATAGAAGATGTTGACTCGGGCAAATACCCATCAGTTTGATTGGGTTGGGAGACCTTGTATCCATTTATTTAATTCTGCATCTTTGGGCACAAATGCTTGTTGCTTTTGAGAGAATGTAGAATTGGAAGCTAGTCTTGTTTGAAGAGTTCACGCCCAATGATCATTCGCCTGATCTCGCTCGTCCCAGCGCCAATCTCGAACAGTTTCGCGTCTCTGAGAAGACGACCCGTTGGGTACTCGTTTACATACCCATTCCCACCAAGACACTGGATAGCCTGCATGTCAAAGTGACCACAAAGGAATATTACCTTACTTTGCAATGAAATGGTCAAGCATGTGATTTGAATGCATGCTCTAATCACAGTTGACAAAGCATGGTCTTGGCAATTGGGTAGGTAATAGTTTTTCAAGCATACCAACAGAACCCACTTGCATGACCTATGAGCTTCATCAAATTGGACCATGTATACTTGCGATGAATGCAAACTCTAACTAGAAGGATAGAGAGTGGTGCCTTGTCATGTGCAGGTTCTGTAGTTAGGTTTGACCTACAAATTTCCTCTACTTCTGTTATGCATACATGAAGCATTTCATTAACTAAATTTCCTCTACAAATTTTGTGAAAATAAAATTGCATGCAGTAGACAATCTAATCCAATAAAAAAGATGAGGCTCTTTCCATGCACTCTAAAAAGGACGAGTGTGGAAAGCTTAATTCGTAACTAGGAAAACAAAAACATACCAAAGTGTACCACACAAAAGTTCAACATGTACAATTAATGTAGAAAATTTGTTCAAAAATAGTCCCAATGAATAGTTCTTGCTAAACTTCTGAAATAGCTGAAACTTTATCCTTTCATTCCATTCATAATTTCAGCAGGTTTTCCAACTTTGTCCACACAAAGCAGAATCTTTTTCTCACGGGATCCCGGGGAAAAGTATCAGAGAAAAGAAGATGTACTCTACTATGAGAATATAACGTGAAATCCAAGGACAAAGTTTCTAGTACCTGAAGAGCGACCTGAGTAGCCTTTTCAGCAGCCAGGAGAATAACGCCAGCACAGTCCTGAACAATTTGCATTTTGCAGATTTTAGGAAAAGAAAGTACAGTTTGTAGTCATAAGAGGATAAGAGCATGCATTTTAACAAAAGCTAGAGCATCAGAAAACATAGTAGTGATCCAGTTTTTAGATCCATCACCCCGCTAGCGTGAACTGTTCAAGCTTTTAATATACTATCACTATCAAAATTAAAGCAATTTTGATATGCAAACCAGATGAATCACACATATTTACTTGTAAAGCATGAAATACTAATAAGCAAATGACAACAAATAAAACATATGGCCTTTAGCATTGTGAGGTATGGGACGGAGAAATAATGATGTTCAAACGTACCTTTCGGTCAACTTTTCCATTGTCACAGTCCCGAGCAACTGAATAAACAAATGCTCTGACAAAAAGGAAAGCAATCAGTCTCTCTAACATCTAACTGCTAAAACATTAATGTGTGTTGTCATGCAATTCAAAGTGCTACCTTGATGACTGTAAGGAAGTATACATATCAGCCAACTTTCCCTGTATGGATGATACATTTGGTTTGAGTCCCACAAAATTGTTCAGATCTTTACATCTTGAAGAAGGATTAAGCACAGCTTAATCGCATCTCGTACCTGTATAAATTGAAACTCTCCAATTGGGTGGCCAAACTGTTCTCGCTGTCGAACGTAAGGAATAGCTTCATCAAGGCATGCCTGCATAAGTCCGAGAGGGCCAGCAGCTAGAACAAGTCTTTCCAAATCTAGCCCCGACATCATGACATAAACTCCTGTGAGAAAGATAAGAAATTAATGGTGCAATGAAATTTCAATTTCTCTGCTGAAACATTCCAAAAGAACAAGCACATGCTTTCTAGCCAATATGCAGCATCCTAGAATAGTAGAATTCATAAAGCAAGCATCTAAACATCAAGACAAAAGGGAAAAAGAGAACATACTTTCACCAAGAAATCAAATAGCTACATATTGATTCTCCAAATTAACTATGCTAGTCATGAACATTGGTGCATTTGTTAACCTAGAAAGATTACCAGATTTTCCCAAAAAGATTTTAATACAAAAAAGATCTAAATGAAGAGGTCAGATTTTCCACGTCAAATACAGCTTGTTGTTGATTTCATTAATAAAATAAACTGAAGGTCATCACCGCATTCAGTTCTTGGTCTCCATAATTTTCTGCTGTCCAGGTCCCTTGAGACCGAAAATTAATATGGAAAGCCTGTATTACACATGATACAGCCCTCAGACAAACTGGGCTGAATCTTTGATAGTATGCAACTATAGATTCTACATATGTGACATAGCTTTAGCAACACTATGTGATTAAGTGACATAACTTTAGAAAAACTATGAGATTTTTAATCTGATGTATGCTAAATTTGTAAGAAATTGACTCGGTAATAATGCTCTTATATCTTTTTTCAAAATTTCTGTTTTCTGAGAAAAACTTTGAAATCTTTGTATCAGCACCTTTTCCTTCCTGTCCAAGCACATTCTCTTCAGGAACAAAGCAGTATTCAAAGACAAGTTCACATCTGCAATACATAAGAGCTTGCTCAGATCATTTTAGAAACACATAAGGTCACATGAACTTTAAATATATATCTAATTGTCAAAGAAATCATACGTATCACTTCCTCGCATGCCAAGTTTATCTAACTTCTGAGCAGTACTGAATCTGCAAGAAAATGTAGCAATCACTAGAGAAAGACTCCAAAAATAATTGCAGCAAAACCTAATGACAATTGATTACAGGCACAGATATTTTCTCCTGCAACTACAGGTATCTACTGATCTGACCCGGACAATACCATTTATTTTGAATTTTTTGTTATTAGAATCTAAAATGACATTTTCAGATGACACCTTTAAACTCAGGCAAAAGGGCTAAACCTAAAGAATTTCAGCAATGTACCCTGTCATTCAATATGAACTAACAAGCAAATGATAATTCTCTTCTTCTTCAATACATAACATCTACTGCAGCTTGAAAAGGAAAAGGCTGAAGACATTTTAGACATTCAACATGAAATTTATGAGGTGAACACTAAAGAATGCTATAAGTACCCAGGCATCCCCTTCTCGATTATAAATGCTGTAATTCCTTTGGATCCAGCACTGATGTCTGTTTTTGCATAAACGACCTGCAGAAGATTCACCAAATAATTACATCAAAAGAAACCCGGGAAAAAAGGACAAAGAATGAAGAAGCTATCACTGTTGTGAAGGGATGTTTGTTGTTTTCAAGAGTTCTCAGTATTGGTACATCAGGTTGTTGAACTCATGACAGCTACAGTTGTCATGATTACACATGGGTGTGATGTTCTTGCAAGTGCAAGAACCATAAAATCCTATGTGTACATAATAAACATGTGGTCAGAACATGCTCGAGTTAAATAAAGATACTACATAGAAGTAGGATTAATGCAGAAAATTGCACAGGCAAGTTACCAATATTTCAACTAAAATTCATGTAATTAACAAAATGATTACCAAAGTTTGGGCAACAGGTCCATTGGTACACCACATCTTGTTGCCATTTATCACATAACCACCATCAACTCGATCAGCTTTGCACTTCATGCTGACAACATCGGAACCAGCTGAAGTGTTCGACAAACTCATAAGAAATTGTAGAAGCAGAAAACATTAACTACTGCTCAAAAACAAAAGAATGAAACTTAAAGCATCAGACCAATTTATTACCGTTGGGCTCACTCATTGCCAGAGCCCCTACGTGCTCCCCACTGATTAGCTTCACATTAAGACAAAGAAGAGTAAATAGCACAGAAAGAGGAAAATTACTGTTCATAGGAAAAGTATTGTATAAATGAATGTATGCAATTAAACATGACGCAACACTCTATAAAAAAGATTCAGCAAAATTACAAAGTAGTAAGCACAGATCTAAGTCAGCATATACAGAAATTTATTGAAACTTGAATAGGATGTTTGTCCAACATTAGTGAAAAGGACAACAAAAAGGTAACAAGTTATGGATCAAATATCAGCTGTTTACTCCTTTTTTCAAATCTTGTTACCATCCACAATTAATTTTGTAACACACAAAGCCAGCACCATATCTGTCATTTCTGTCAAATGAGGAAACATCTAAACGTTTTCAAGATTAATAACCACACTAAGAGGGAACGCTAATAGTGATAAGAGGTGATGGAAAAAACCTTCAGCAAATACTTCTGCTTTTGTGCAGAGGTCCCATGCCTCACCTACAAAAAGACAACTAAATTTTACAATTAGTTACATCATTAGATAATTGCCAATGTATTCTACAGTTAATAACTATAGAACTTCCATGTACCAGTTGATTTATGCATAGGTTGGAATGGGCACCATAAGAAAGGCCAACAGATCCAGAAGCACGACTAATTTCCTCCATTGCAATACAGTGATACAAGTAACCAAGTCCAAGCCCTCCATATTCCTCTACGATGAATCAACCATTTGCAAGTTAGGTAGGTGACTAGGAACAATTTCTATCTAAATGGAACATTCTGATAGATAACAAAATACTTTTTGATGATAAAACTAGTGGTATACATGAAAGTAAAACAGACAAGAAAGAAAAGTCATGTGCAATGACAGGTCTTGCTAACTTACCGTAACATTTTGTCCAGTTAGGCTGTTAAAAGTCTGTAACACACTAATGTAGATGAATTAGTTGATTAAGTGGAACTATACTAGAAAGTCAAGAAAAATATCCTCAATTTTGGAAATTGAATCATTTCATAGATTAAAAAAAGGCCAAATAATCGAAAAACCCCCTAAGTTTGAGAATTTTCTAGAGAACGCCCCAACTTTGAAAAATTCTTGCAAAGCACTCCTGGCCGCGTGAAAAGAACATTTTGCCCTTGCCTTCTTCGGCTCTTCGCTGGCTCCTCCCCCCTGCACCGCTTCCGCCTTCGTCCCTGCACACTCGTCAAGGGCATCATGGGTGCCCACACCAGCCCTAGCTGCCTCCACCGCTCGCCGTAGGTGACAAGCTCCTATTCGAGGCTGAGGGGGGGCGACCGACGAGACCAACCCGCACACGGAGGTGTAGACGCGATGCTTATTTGGGACGAAAGCGGATAGTCGACAGGACTAGCTCACACATGAAGGCACAAACAACCAACGGAGGAGAGGCGGCTATTGGGTTCGATAATGGCGAGGACTCCACTGTTGGTCGCCTCGATGCACGGCCACGCCTGCGCCGCGGGCGATTGTTCAGGGCGAAGGGTGATGGCCAACAAGGGTATAAGGGTCATTTTGAAGAAAAAGGGACGTTCTGTGAGATTTTTTTTAAGTTGGGACGCTATGGACTTTTTCCCAGAATTCACCCTTAAAAAATTGTGCACTCCAGGAAAGTTTTATAATTTTCTTAGAACAAATTAAGAAAGCCGAAATTGGTAAAAAGTGTACTCATGTTTTCTTAGAAATCTGGTTCTCTGGTCAGTTTCTGTAGATTTCAGAATATTTGATTCAAAAGCATGATTAAAAACACTTGGTTTTCAGAGCATAAAAACACATTTCTTCAAATGGTCACCTCAAAAATAGATATGATGATATTTTCAAGAGAATAAATATGTCAAGATCTGACGGAAGACGTCAAATATACTACAAAATAGTATACTAATGTAATAAACGTAGTTCAACATATTAAATATAATAGATCTGATGTAACACATTATACTTTATTCTGGACAATTGCTTTTCAACAAGTAAAATATAAGGATCAAATCTTACCCTCATCTTCAATTTAATTAGACAACTAAAAAAGAAAATTAGTGAAGCAAACTTAGAAACTCATGGAATAAAAAAGCAACAGCAGTGGCAGCGTTACCTGGAGCTGTGATACCATGGAGATCGAAATCGCCCATAAGTTTCCACAAGTTCACATCCTAAAAGACATTACACAAAGATCAGATGCCACGGTGATGACTTCAGCCCCATCAAACAATCAACAGCAACACAACCTGGGGAAAGTGGTTCGTAGCATCAATCTTGGCCGCATGCGGAGCAATGTTTTCTTGTGCGAACTGATGAACGCTCTCTTTAAACTACAAGTATCACGAACACAAAAGCTCGTAACAAAATCAGAAAGGGAAAAATCTTTAACGACAGGGGAAAAAAGTACTTTTTAATTAAAAATAATAATCCACGGATCGCACAAAGAAATAACCAAATCATTTTGGTTATCCCGCTCTATTAATCAGCCGATCACCACCGAACCATTTTGGTATTGTAACCTTAGCCTCAACAATCGTTTAATCTCAATCAGAAATCCAACGGTAGCTCGGGAGCTTTAGCAAAAACCATATTCTGAGAGTCGGGAGGTTTAGAAACTTCACCTGCTTCTGTGTATCATCGAAGAGGAGGGAGGTGGAGAAAAAAGCCCTCTGCTTACTCCAATGATCCCAGCATAGGATAGCAGCGCGTCTGGTAGCGCGCAATCGCTGCATCTTGGAATCGATTAACCGGTAATTCCAGCGAAAACGAGGAGAGAAAAATCGCGTTATGTATGGATAGTCTTGGAACGAGAACAGAAAAAATGTCGGCGACGCGGGTTACGTTGCCATGAGATAACGATCACAGTAGGTGCGTCGCGCATACGTTTTCCCTACTGCTACAACCTACCCTTATCCATTCCCTTCTCAAAGCAGGTGCGCCGCGTCATATGTTTTGGGTACATATGAGCGACTCTCTGCCTGCCTTGTTGTTGTTGGAGGCAGCGGCGAGGGCTTCCGCCGGCTGCTCTGATCTCGCCAATTGAAACCTTGGTAGACGCAAGTGCTGCCGCACAAGATGTTTGACTTGGTGGTGAACTTCGAGCCTCACATGAACCCGAGTTAATTTGTAGGGTGGATGTCATGGGTTAATCATACAGTACGGCTGGCTTGGGTTCAAGCAAAATCTTTGGGTCGGGTTGATGGCCGGTATCTTTGTCAAATGCTTGAAACCCGACCCGACCGGACCCGACCAGACTCTATCCACCCGGCCTGACCCATCCCAATTCCCATGTCGAAAAGGGTGGAAATAGGGGAGGAGAAAAACCCTAGCCGCCTATCCATATACACCAACTAGGAAGCGAATCATAGGACTCCTCCGTTTCTTGCTCCTGTAGAGGGACGAGAAGGCGGCTTCGCAAATCATGGTTTCGGGTTCGGGGCTATGCGCGAGGCGGGTGGTGGTGGACGCGCGCCACCACATGCTGGGACGGCTGGCGTCGATCGTGGCCAAGGAGCTCCTCAATGGGCAGCGCGTGGTGATCGTCCGCTGTGAGGAGATCTGCCTTTCCGGGGGGCTCGTCCGTCAAAAGATGAAGTACCTCCGCTTTCTCCGCAAGCGCATGAACACCAAGCCCTCTCATGGCCCCATCCACTTCCGCGCCCCCGCCAAGATCCTCTGGCGCACCATCCGCGGGTAATCTCAAAATCATCTTCACATAACATAGAGGACAGGTTGAAGATCTGATTTTGGTGATCGTTAGTATGATAAAAATGAAACCTTGCTGTTTTCTTCTTTGGATCGATTCGGTGGCTAAATGTTCCATCTGTATTCTTGTATCTGTTTAGGATGATTCCTCACAAGACGAAGCGTGGGGCCGCTGCGTTGGCAAGGCTCAAGGCATACGAGGGGGTGCCACCTCCGTATGATAAGATCAAGAGGATGGTTATTCCTGACGCCCTCAAGTATGAAGTATTTTGTTTGATTGATTTCGACTGCAAATGTTTCAATGTTATCTGGTCTTTGTTGGTGAAATGCTCAACGTGTTTTTAGGGTATTGAGGCTTCAACCCGGCCATAGATACTGCTTGCTTGGCCGGCTGTCCTCGGAGGTCGGATGGAATTATTATGATACCGTCAAGGTCAGATCAAATTGGCCCTATGCTCTCTTTTATGTTTAAATTATATGCTGTATTTTTTTGCTTACCTGCTCGTGATTACGTTTATGCTGGACTTCAAAAATCTAAGAATCTATTTCGAAGCACATTTGATTTGTGAAAAAGTAATCATAACTTGATATCCACTAATAAAGTTATCATATGTATATATAGTCGACAGCAATGTAGATTGAATCTTTTATATATTTAGGAGAGCCTGTCTTAGGTTGTAATGCATTTATGGTCCTTCATTGTAGATTGAAATGATCAGTTGTTTATTGATTCCCTAATGATGTAAGTGATAACAATGTTTTTGCAAAACTGAATAACCTATGTGCACAGCAGATTTGATCTATGAATTTTCGAGCTGACATGTTAACTTCTTGTAGAGAATGCTTTGGTTGCTTGTGGGAAATGTGATGAATATTTACTTTTTTTTTAGAGCCAAGAATTATGCCAAGCTATGGTGACTTGATTTGCTGAATTATTTTATTGTGAAAATTTTCATTTTAAATTCGAAATATGCTATATTGAACTTTACTATCTATAATTTTCATTTTAATGTTGTTTCTCCATGGTATTTGCCATTTCCCTTTGACGAATTAGATAGAAAAGGCACTTGAAATGTCTCCATGGGCAAACTGAAATTGTTTACTTTTGTGTTCTGGAACCAACAATTAAAAGAGTAATTTGTTTTGACTGTTTGTTTTGACTTCTGGACATTAATTACAATCCTATGTGCCTTCAAAACTATAAAGGTATAGTCACCTTAGAATTTTTCAAGAGTATAACACACTTTTATGATGCATTCTTCGGTTTGTCACTCAGTTACTTTCTTTATAGTGCCATGTGCTGAGCCGTCAGCTGTCTTTATTGTTGTGCTAAAGCTATATAGATTTTTGTGTGCTTAACTGATCAAAATGCTAATGCTACCGTGCAGGTGCTCGAGGCAAAGAGGAAAGAGAGGGCCGCGGTAGCTTATGAGAGGAGAAAGCAGCTTACAAAGCTTAGGTTGAAGGCAGAAAAGGCTGCTGGGGATAAGCTTGGTTCCCAGCTTGACATCCTTGCGCCATTGAAGTACTGAGTTGATTGGGTAGTTTTGTTACAACAATATTAGCCATTTTATCATTTTTGTTTGGTTAGACTGAGTTTATCATGGTATGGATGTGTATGCTGCGACATTGGATTTCTTAGTTTTGAGCGTTGCATTGGTTGGAAAACGTTGGTCCTTTATTAATTGGTTTCTCCCTTAATTGTTGAATGGGTTAATGCTGATGCTGTGGCTACTTGTGGTTTTATATGCGCACGTCAATCTAAATCGTCACTTGCGAGAGATGCATGAAACCTTTTACAGTGTGGTGTTAAGCAAGGTGTAATATTTTATTATTTACAGTTCTTTTTATCGATAACTCCCATAATCTTTTTAAAAATATTAAAATAATATTTTGTTATTTACAATTAAGCTTACTATTCATAATATCTTTTTTACTGCTGACAATTTTTTTATCTTTTTAAAAAAATAATAAAATATTATTTTTCTTATTTGCAGTCATAATTCTATCTTTTTCTTTTCCCCGCACCCTTAATTCTCCCATCCGATTTGACGCCGGCTATCAGTGGCGCAGCCCTAGTCTGACGCTTCAATGATACGGTGGATCGAGAGAACATCGAAGTTAGAATTCATTGATGATATCCTTGATTACTGATCGAGGCCGGGCCCGAGTGTGTCCGATCCGGCCTGGCCCAATTCATATCATAAATGCCAGAGAGAGGGAGGAAGCGAAAAACCCTAGCCGCCCACCCATATACAGTAGCTTGGCATCCCACTGCCGTTCGTGTTCCGAAGCGACTGTACGACTATGTTTCTTGCTCCGTTTGACGGGTCAAGAAGGCGGCTTGGCCAATCATATGGTTTCGGGGTCTGGGCTGTGCGCGAGGAACTCCTCTAACGGGCAACCCGTTGTGGCCGTCTGCTGCGAGGAGATCTGCCTTTCCGAGGGGCTCGTCCGCCAAAAGATGAAGTACCTCCGCTTTCTCCGCAAGCGCATGAACTCCGAGCCCTCCCACGGCCCCGTCCACTTTCGCACCCCTGCCAAGATCCTCTGGCGCACCCCGTCTGCGGGTAATCTCAATCATCTTGACATAACATGATGACAGGTAGAAGATCTGATTTTGGCGACCCTTGGGACGATATAAAAAATGCGATCTTGCCTTTTTTTTGGATCGTCTCGGTGGCTAAATGATCTATCTGTATTCTTATCTCTGTTTGCTCATGATGATTCCTCACAAGACGAAAGGTGGAGCCGCTGCGTTGGCAAGGCTCAAGGCACACGAGGGGGTGCCACCTCCGTACGATAAGATGAAGAGGATGGTTATTTCGGACGCCCTCAAGTGTAAGTTTTTTGTTTGATTGTTCGAGTGCAAATGTTTTCGTTATCTGGTCTTGTTGATGAAATGCTCGATGTGTTTTTACGTTATTGAGGTTTCAACCCGTCCATAGATACTGCTTGTTTGGTCGGCTGTCATCTGAGGTTGGATGGAATTAATATGATACCGTTAAGGTCAGATCAAATCGGCGGTATGCTCTCTTTTACGTTTCAACCATAAGCTGTATTTTGTTGCTTACCTACTCGGGGTAATGTGTATACTCGATTTTTAACATCTAAGAATCTATTTCAAAGTATATTTGTTTTGTGAAAAAGTGATGATAACTTGATACTTGCTAATAAAGGATAGGTTGGACTTTTCATATATATATGTCTTTTTTTATATTCAGGATGGCCTGCCTTAAACTGTAGTGAATTTATTTTTTTTGCTTGTAGATTGAAATGATCAACTGTTTATTAGGGGTGTTTAAACTTATTCGAATAAAATCAAATCAAAAAATTGGTTTGGTTCAGTTAAGATAAGGTAGTTCGAACGGGAAAAAGTTCAGGCCCACCTAACCTAATTGGTTCAAAACTGGTTAATCTAACTTGGTTAGCCGGTTTTTAATTTCAAGATATTTAAAAAATGAATTTTTAAAATGAACCGATTCAGTTCAGTGAATCGAACCAAAGTCTTGGTCCAATTGGGTTGGCCATTTTTAAAAAGTTCCCATCACAATTGTCACCTTAAACATTCTCAAAAGGTTCCTGTATAACATCCAATCAAATGCATTAACAAGAATTAAGGCGAGAAAAGGAGGGTGACATAGACAAGAATGCACATTTTTCTCATACCTTTTGCTCTTTTGGACTGGTTTGAACTGGCTGAGGCCTTGACATAATGAAGTCGATCGGGCTGATGTTTTTTAAATTAAAATGGGTTTGGTAAGGTCCGAACCAATTAACAGAATCAAAGAATAGTACCCTTCCAAACTGGAACCATTTGTGGTCTTCAAAATCGAACTATTGATGGACCGGTTTGAACCGAACCAATTCAGAACAGGTTTGGTTCAGCTTTGGTTCCGTTTGAACACTTCTATTGTTTATTGATTCCTTAATGATGTAAGTGGTAATAAAGTTTTTGCAAAACTTAAAAACCTATGTCCACAGTATATTTGTTCTGTGAGCATTTTCGAGCTACCACAGTATATTTGAAGAGATTGCTTTTGTTGCATATTTGCAACAATGTGTGGTCTGATGTCCTAGTTTGAGGGAAATGTTATACATATTTACTTGTCTTTAGAATCAAGAATCATGGTAAACAACAGTGACTTGATTTACTGAATTATTTTATTATGAAAATTTTCATTTGAAATTTGATGTTATATAGAACTTTCCTATCAACATATTTCTATGTTGAAGTGCTTTGTAATGGAAATAACTAATTTAGTGATGCATCCATAGCAATGTTTTGAATGTTACTGTTGTTTGTCCATGGCTGTAGCCATTTCCATTTGACAAGTCAGATAGAAAAGACACTTCAAATGTCTCCTTGGGCATATTGAATTTGTTTAATTCTTCTGCCTGGCTTCTTGCATCCCTTCCTTGGTTATGCTTTAGATTGTGGAGATGCTGCATGACGGCATGAAAGAGGAGTTGGATCTCTTTTCTTTTCCTGTTTCCTCTCATAAAAGTCATGAATTTCTTTTATTTATGGTGATCAATTTTGAGCACTTCCTGCTAACTTTGTACACTATTTTGCAAATTTCCGAAGCATGAAATCTCTAGATGATGAACTGATTATAAGCTATGGACTAACGTCCCATGAAGCCTTTGTCATAGTTACACTGATAGAGTTTCATGCTCTTATCATCATCTTCCTTTTCTCATGTCATGGATTGTGTCTCGATAGAAATTTTGTTTCATTCTTGCCAAATAAATTAATTGTGCTATGGTTTCACTGTTTGCCTCTTCTCTTCTCCGAATGATGATGAAATGTGATTTGATGCGATGGATGACATCCATATGAAGTTCATGTCATAGTTACACTGACAGAGAAGCATTTCTTGTTTTACTTTGTATAAAAATTACTTTGCTTTTTGATTCATAGTGCAGAATTGATTGTCATTGGAATTTCACATGTTTTTCTTTGATGTTCAATCTTTTTGCTTGATTCATATTATAGAATTGATCATCATGGGAATTTCACATGCTTGATTTGTGAGCTTCTGTTTTACCTGCTATTAATTGATTGCAGTTTTGAAAACCTGCTGGACTGCACTCCGTGTATGTTATTGGGCCCAGTATATGGGGATAAGCCTGATGGAGCTGCAGAGGGCATAAGTCTAGTGGGTTAACTTGAGAGATCAGTTTCCTCGATGGGCCCATTTATTGGTTGAATCTTCATCAAATATTGATAGCTGCGTCTGCTAGATCTTTTGTCTTGCTTCTTGGATCCCTTTTTTTGTTATGCAGATTGTAGTGATGCCACATGATGCTGCAAGACTCTCATAAAAGTCTTACATTTCTTTTATTTATGGTGATTGATTTTGAGCGCTTTTTACTAATTTCCTATAACATTTTGCAAATTTCAGATGCAAGAAATCTCTTAGATGATGAATTGATTATGAGTTATGGACAGACATCTTATGAAGTTTTTATCATTGACCAATAAGAATTTCATGCTCATCATCATCTTTATTTCTTGTTTTACTGGTCACAGATATTTCTTTTCTATTCAAATCATCGTACAGACTGATTGTCATAGGAATTTTACGGGGCACAAATATTCCACTGCCGTTCAATCTTTTTACTCGATTCATCTTAGAGATTCGATCCTCATCCTTTTTTTGTGAGCTCCTTTTTTGACCTGCTAATGAACAGATTGCAGTTATGAAAATCCATGCATGTTATTGGGGGACGAGGAAAACTCGTGATGTTTACCAAAAGATGCGTGATCACATAGTGTTTAAGAAATATTAGGAACCCCATCGTGTAATGGATGTTCTTAAAAAGAATGAATTGTATGTACTAAGTCGAAGTGGTGTGTGTGTGTCCAATCACTTGGCAATGCCGAATAATGCTTTCAACAGTTTCATTAATTTGCTACCAGATTTCCTGGAACGAGTCAATTAATTTGAACTGATTCAATTTTTTTATTCCGTCCATATAATATGTATACATACAGTAAGGAAAGATGACTTGGGCTGGGCAGAACAGTATGTGCATCGTCCGCATTTCCTCTCGGTTGGGCTCAGATACGGCCTGATAGCCCAATTAAAGGCCACAATTCCAATGGTCTTCCTTCTTTCCTCGACTCTGCCACCGGGTCAGGAGCAGCATCGGCTAGCCCACCCCACACCCAGTCCTCCACTTTGCGATCAAGAAGGCGGCAAAGCTACGGAAAAAAGGTATGCTCAATTCTGACTCTAGATAAGGGATCCCCTCATCCTCCGACCGTGGCCTCGGTTTCGCAGGGCGAACAGGGCGGGGTCGACATGTCGGGCACCATCGACGCGGCGGGGGAGCCGATCCCGACTTCGGCGGTCCTCATGGCGGCTGCCAAGCACATCGCGGCGCGGTGCCGAGCCGAGAACGTAGCCTTCATCAAGTGCAAGAAGAAGGACCCTAACCCCGAGAAATGCCTCGATAAGGGCCGCCAGGTCACGAGCTGCGTCCTAAACCTGTAAGGATCCCACTCCATTTATTTAATTTTCAATTTGACTTCTGTTCTCTTGTGATTTGGTCGGTAGGTAATTTGTTCGGTTGATCCGCTTTTTATCTGTTCCCTTTGTGTTTCTCGTTCGTCTCTATAGGAGGATCAGATGGCAGTAGCCATTCGTGTTAAAATTGGGTCTCGTAGTTTGTACAGAAGAAGAAACTAGGTTGGAATTGCTACGTTTATTGTATCTGAATGATTTGCTGTAAGTTTCTATCGTTTCTACCTTCTTCTGCATTGTATAAGATATTGCTCCGCTCCACAAATTCATTAGCTCTGTGGTGTCATCAATTCTGTTGTGAAACTATTATAACAGTCGTGACAACTGATCTTGATTTCTTCGACGACCAAGGGTAGGCTGGGATCATCAAGAAATTGGGAGTAAACAACTGATCTTGCCAATCATCGCAGGACTTGGGATACCAAAGGTTTTAAACCCTGGACTGTATCAATAATGTTGCTATTTGTTTGTGCTCTTGCTCCAATCTAGAAACTAGTCCTTAGCCCACCGTAAGCATTCTATCTTCCGGTTGCCATGCTTTACAAAATCAAGATTGTATTATGTACCTAGATCACTCTTAATAGAGCAGCATGTAGTTGCATTCCCATTGGTGTCAAGAAGAAGATGCAGTTGTATAGGATCAATAACTAGATATAAAATTTGGTAGATGAAGAGCATGTCCCAGGATGACAAACATTATGACTCACCGATAAATGAGGAGGAAAGGAAAGGTACCAGCTTTTTGTTTTTTGTTTTTTGTTTCTTTAAAGTGAAATTACGTGCATGATGGATGGGTAATTAGTTGCATTATCACAAATGTTTTGCATCAATGCACATAGAAAAGATGAGAGATGGCAAAAATGAAGTTACTTTTGGGTCAAGTCCTGGACAAGAAAAACACTCTTACCTCATCAGCTAAAAACAATGTTGTAAATGTTGCAGATTCATCATGGATATTCGCAAACTATAACAACAATGGTAACTACAAAAAGAACCATTGCTACCATGAAAGAATCTTAAATACCAACCACTTATGGCTGTAATTCAAGATCTATGTTCCTTGTTTCGAAAATCCTTTGTGGCTATGGAGAATCAATTTATTGATTTACCTGATAACAGATGTATAACTGGAGGAAAATTAGGGTGTTGTTGTGTGTTATGTAATAGACTAGTAAGGAAGACAAGTAGTTTGATTGGATAGTGATTTGCCTGAAGCTAATGTGACTTAAGCAGTGATCCTGGGCAACTTTTTTCTTTTGTTACTTGAAAAGAAGTTTACATCAACTACTTGGTGACTGATTTACATCTCTTTCCAAGATCAATCTTGTCATGGATGATGGACCCTGCATTGTATCTAGTCTTGCAAATCAGGCGCAACAATTCGTAGCCTTGAGTCCTTGACCTTGGCATAGCGCAACTGGACATGGTTTGACCTTTTCCAACTTTAAGCCACTAGAACTGGTAACTACCGATGCAAGTGGTTTTCCAAAATGGAACACACTCATCATGATCAAATCCAGGTTTGAAATCTCTGTTTCTTAATATTTTGAAAAATATTATAAAAGGGAACGTAAGACATCTTATGTGTTCTCTTGAATAGTGACTAACTCATCACTTGATTCTAGGACTCATGAAGCCATATGTCGAAACATTTTTGTGAAAAAGGACTGGTAGTACCTGAATTTAAAAAGTTGGAGTTATTCAAGTATCATTCAAACAAAAAGTCATGTGTTGAAGGTTATCTTTTACAAATGTGCTACACTGCACAGATTAATCTTTACATATGAAGCACTTTGAGTTGGGTTGGTAAAGATATCCTCAATATCCAACGAAAAGTCATTTGGAATAGGAAAAAAAATTGTGACCAAGTAAAACATAATTTTAATGCACCCATATTAATGGACATGTAGCTGGAAATCGCCGATATTCTTTTTTTCTCTATCTTATTGTCTCTCTCTCTTTTAGCTCTTTTGATGCATGTATACATAAGTAGAAAATGTTAATATAAAAAAGGATCAAGACGCAGGTAGCACTGCAGCCATAAAGTGCCATCTACCATTTTGCATCATCAATGGTTTTTTATTTGTTCTTTTGTATGCTACAACAATGTGACATTTTCACTGGTTTTGTCTCTTGTTAGGCTCAACCACATTGTTCACTAATCTGTAATCAATTATATTCAGTGATTTAAAAAGGCGCTCGGGCGCTTGCCTAGGCGCTCGGGCGAGGCGAGGCGAGGCCCGAGCACCTCGCTTCACTTCCAGGCGGTGCGCTTCAAAGAGGCGCTCGCCCGAGCCCAGGCACTGGGCGCTTCTGGCAAGCGCCTGGGTTAAACCAGGCGACCGAACCGGCGTTTTAGGTCTAGTTCGGTCTCCGGTACTTTAGTTGGTTCAATCGAATCAACTAAAGCACCGATATCAACTGTCGCTGCCCAACGCTAACCCTGCTCGTTGCCACTGTCGCTGCTTGCTACCGCTGCTGCTGTCGTCGCTCCTGCTGCCGCTTCCTCTTTTCTCAGTCACCCCCTTACACTTCTCTTCCTTTTTCTCCTTCTGTATATCGTTAATAGTATACTAATAATAGTATTTGTATTTATTAGATTAATAATATATTATTTTGATTTTGTATCTTAGATTTTCTTAATTTAATAGTATATTTTTATTTAAAATTTTAAATAATTATATTTATTAATTATATTATATATTTTTATATTTTAGCGCCTCGCTTCGCTCGGGCGAGCGCCTAGCGCCTCGGGCGTTTTTAAACCTTGGCGCCTAGTGCTTTTTAAATCACTGATTATATTAATTTGAATATTTACATAGTCCTCGTAACTTTTGGCTTTTACGTTTATTTTGATTGCTTCAGGTTGAGTATTTGTTCTGTATATACTTGGTCAAAATTATTATATTTCGTGTGTTAAAAATTGGTGGAATGATTTGATCACAAAGCCCTTGGTGATGCTCCAAATTGTTAGTGCTAACTATTTTGTCGTTGGAAACATTAATATGGTTTTCAAAGGGCAAAATTCATCTTCATTCAACTTTCTAACCATCCTTCGAATACATTTTTCATTTCTACTGCTCTAATGGGAGATCCGTACTCATACACTCTATTAAATGCACCACTAATACATACGTAGGTACCTTCTATACATTGTATGTAACATAAAAATAATTTTCCTACAATAATTATCCTGAAAAACCTTTGTTTCATTTCCAAATTCCAACAGTCTTGTTCATCAGTCTATTGCACTATGCAACAAGTATCATATTATCCTTTTGTGTAATATTTTGGTTAATAGTAATTGGAATATAATGCAAAATTATAAGATATGGTATTGACCAAGTAGTGCCAATATCTTCCATGGAAAAACGGGTATTTTAGCAGGAATCATAGCTAGTTTATGAACTTTGCAACTGCCCAATTTTTCTACTCTTTCTAGTGTTGGTGAATCATGTATTATGATGTCAATTTTTTGATTGCAAATGATGGAGTATCAGACTATCACTCTAAACATGATTTATGAATATAAATCCTTTCACTACATGTCTGGTATCCAGTTTATACTCTGACTAGATTGTGGAGGTTGCGTATAGGTTTATGTACTTAGATATGCTTAGGAGTGTTGAGAACTAAAGATTGATTCTGGATTACTTTGTAAACAGAGAAACAACAAGACATACTAATGCTTTTAGGATTTCTTTCTATTATTCATCATTGAAAATTTTTCTTTCCTTTTTGTTTCTCTTTCCTTAATGTTGTGTCACCTTTTGGGAGATGTGCTGGTTTGAGGGAGCATGTTGCAGGCAAGGTGTGAGCCCGACATCCAGTGAGCAGTTGTTTGTGAACTTGCAACTGTTCGTTCAACCTTCTAAAGTCCTTGTTTTCATCCTTCCTCTCTTTTCTCTCACACACGTAAGGTGCTCGTTGAATTGCTTGTGAAGCTTCCCTTTTCGCGAGACGTCGGGACTTGTCCGTCGCTAGTTTTCGAACTAATCAACTTTCTCTTTTACATGTCTTTCGGGACCTGAGTGAGGTTGCAAATTGGCTAACCCTTTGCGGACGCATATCGCAAGGATGCGTCACGACTTAAGCAATCACAGCTAAGTCCGATAAGTTGACGCAAGGGTGCTTCACGACTTAGGTAACTCAAGCTACGTCCGTGACTTTGCCACAAGTGTGCCACACGGCTTAGGTAATTCCAGTTAAGTCAGTGACATTGTGGTACATAAGACAAATAACTTGAAACCATGATGACATAATGCTAGCAAAAGGGAGATAGCCATGTAATAATAGGTGAAGAAAACTATTGGCATCACAATTTATGAATCTTAAAGTCTGACTACGTCGTGATATACTAGTAAATATATATTTTTTTCCCTTTTTTGCCATCCATGTAGAAGAAATCTGTAACCAATGGCTGAAGTTGGAAAATTACTTTAGCCACATTGATCTCAGGGATTCACAAGTTGTACGGCACATGGCCATTTATATTAGAAAATTGCTTGCTGTCACTTGTGATCATTCTGCAACTTGATCTGCTTCAATTTGGTTGATTCTGTTATTTTATATAAATGATTGCAAATCTGTTCCTATTCTTTATTCAACATTTGATTTCCTTATGAGTAGGACATCGTCTTTTTCATATTATCTGCTTATACATGGTTTAACAGTGTATAGTGGTGAAATGAAATCTCTGCAAGAAGATTCTATATTTCTTTAACCACTAGGCTGTTAACTGTTAATCATCTCAACTTTTTTCCCAAAAAATAGGTAGGCAACTAACTTATCGATTAATGATGATCCGTCACTTGCAGGCTGAAGGAGCTCCACCAGAAGTGCCCGAACGAGATGGATGCATATGCAGGCTGCATGTATTACTACACTAATGAGTTTGACTTGTGCCGCAAAGAGCAGGAAGCATTTGAGAAGGCATGCCCAGTATCAGAATAGTCCTGGGACATTGCTTCCCATCCTCGTCTTCAAATAATTCATGACAAACCCAACCTATGAATTCCTCTGTTGCTTTTTGCCACCGAAGAAACTATATGTGAGCTCAAATTGCATTTTCGTTAGTGTCTGCATCAGTAGACTTTATTCGTGAAATTGCATTTCTTTTGAACTAATGTGGCTCAAAATACTTTCCTCAGTGTTAGCAAGAAAAATAAGCTCACAGGACAGAGTAGTTGCCTGCCAATTTATTTATTAGATTACATAAATCAAAAGTATTTTCGGTGAAGGGACCATTAAAGACTATTTTGAGATTTGGAGAATGGTTTTCTTAACTATGTTTATATTGACTCCCTGTGAATTTGATAACTTCATTAATATATCTCACCTGTTCTGATTGTTCAAGGTGTTAGGGGTTCGGATCTAACTTGGACACACATATCAACCTTGTCATTGACTCGACATTAGGGAACAAACTGCTTCAAGGGAGACCCTTTTGCAAAAGCTAAGTTGGGAGCGTGTCTAATAAATGTGCAAAAACTATGTTAGAGGCATGCCGGCGATCGAGCGTGTCTAATAATTCTCCGTAAATTTGATGATTATTATTGCATTATTAACAGTGAAAATGTGTGCCAAATCATCGGGTATGTAGTTATTATATCACAATTTCTACTAATGAAGGGCTTACTAGTTGATGTCAGTGGTTGAATGGGTCTCCACGAGTAGATAATGTACGAGAACAACTATTTAATCGACATGATAGTCCGACGAGAATATGAGGAGATCGTAATCTCTATCCTTAATGTTCGTGTCCAATTTATGGTCAGTCATATTATCCTTTCAATTGAATTATCCATCTCCAACTCATGATTGTTATGTTATCCTTTCAATTGAATTGAATCGTCAGACAAATGAAAGGTCTTGGATCAGAATTTATGTTATCCTTTCAATTGAATTGAATCGTCAGGCAAATGATGTTATCCTTTCAATTGAATTGAATCGTCAGGCAAATGATGTTATCCTTTCAATTGAATTGAATCGTCAAGCAAATGAAAGGCCTTGGATCAGAATTCAAGAGTTGCTTGCCTCGATATTCAACCCTCGTTCCTTTGAAATTATTTTAGCTTTAGAACATCTTTTCTTTTTCTTCCTTTTTTTTTCTTTCCCTTCTCTCCTTCAATCCTTCCTAACCTCAATTTCTCATCCTCTACATAAATATCGAGGTGAACAAGATTACCCATTTGAGGGTATTTTCTACATATGATGGAACCCAACAATCTACGAGTAGTTCCTTTTAACTCGAAGACCCGCTTTAGTTCCGAAAATCTTGATTTGATAAATATTATTATTTTTGCACCTATACAAGTGCACCAAAGGTGGTACTTCAGTTTCCTCTTGATTTTTTTTTTTTTTTTTTTTAAGATCTTCTAAGCTTGGGAGATCTTAGATAGTGTTATCATGTGCCATTTATTAGGAATATCATAGTCTCGGCATTACCCTTACATTGACTTTATGACATATATGCTACAATGTGTAACTTAGATATTCGACTTTCTTTCAATATGAAATGAGTGTAAGGTGCGAGAAACTTTGAGTTCCAACAAAAGTCGAAAGAAAATGTTTTCTTATGTTTCTTTGAGATGTGGCCTTTTATCATTGCCTAAGACACCCGAAAGTTTGCCAATGCCCCACTCACCCCAAGCTGAAAAGAGACAATTGCCCATCCATATCATTTTTTGTCCAAGTCCTTGCAAAGGTCAAACTCAGCCCTGACATCAGTAATCAGGTTTTCACATTTTTATTTCCAAATGTTGACACTCTTTTAGTTTCTGATATAATTTTTTTATTTTTATTTTTTTAGAATAAAAATGGATTTTGCTGGAAGGCTCTCTTGCATTGTCAACAAGAGGAAAGACAAGAAAAATATGAGGGCAAGAAAAAGGGATATCAACCACTAGAAACTTCATCTTAACTATTTTAGGATAGACAATCAAAATTGAAAGTAACATAAAGATATGCTATAATAATGAGAGTGATCGAGTCATCCATAAAGCAAGCCACTCAGAAGAAGAGGGTCATTCCCTACACTTCCCACCAAAATCAAAATTGAGACATGGAGAATTGGATCATTATAGTGCCCCAATGAAGCTCCTATATGATTGTCTTATGACATGTTGAAATATGACTCTCCTTTTAATGTTAATTTATTTAGTTAGATTTTCAATGCTTTATGGGCTCATATTCAACCTAGGTTTACTTTCGAACCTCGCCGTGAAGGGAGCAAAGCAATTCGAGAGAGACCACTTGCAATGAGTACGTCAAGAATGCTTAGGTTTGAAAGGATTAAGATGATTCGAGAATAATTGAAAGGTACTTCACTTGAGCTTAAAAACGCACTTGGGATGGAGTAATCATTGAGTCGAGATGAAAATTATCTCTCGAGGTGATTAAGTTTATTCAATAGTCAATATAAAATAGTGAGGATTTATAATGATTGAATCATCGAGTCTACAATTATATCGTAACAGTTTTCATTAACGTTGGGCTCACTAGTTGACATGAATGGTTGAATGAGCCTTAGTAATAGCGTTAAGTCGATAATTCTCTAGGACAGCTATTTATTCGATATGTTAGTCTAACATAACACGTGATGTGTTATTGATTTATCTTATCAGTATTCATTGTTTTGATTTCTTAATATTTTAAGCATATTATGACGAGTAATAGCTATCAATTAGGATGGCTGACGGATTCTAAATCAAAACTTTTGCAATTATAATATTCACATCGGTAAGTATTTATTTGTGCATGTATTGTTTTTTTCAAAAAATATAAGATATTATCAGTACACTAAAGATATTTGTACATGGATTCTAACGAGAGATATATACAACATTAATAATTCTACTTTTATCTAATGGAAAGGCCATCGATGCTCAACATTGCCTTTCAAATCGAGTTCGGTTGTTCCGTAATCGGTCACGAGGCGTATGGCTATTGGAAGCATAAAGAACAGAAATCTCATTCAAAATTCTCGGGAAAGACAGAGCTTATTATTGGAGAACAGATGTGTCATAGCTGATGAGTGGCTTGATCCACAGGTCAATGTCGAGAGTCTTCTGTCGACTGAGCCGGATGCCGAAGTGGGCCGATCGAGAGTCTTCTATCGATTGAACTGGATGTCGAGGTGGGCCGAGCCCTTGCGACAGGATGAGGATTAATGTTTTTTCGATCCAGGCACCGTCTACGTTGAGCAACGTCTCTTCGTCTCCTTATCACTTACGAAGCAACGGATTGCTATTTGGGAGCACGCGAATCGGACGGTCACAAGTTTATGAGGCCCATTTGGGTCTCAGTTTCGACCTCTAAATGAGCGAAAAAAATCCTTTCTTAATAGAATGAATTTTAATTTTCGGAAAAAGATGCAACTAGGCGACTTGGACTGGGGAATGCAACGGGATTCAGAAATCCTTGGATTCTTTACACCGCCGGAAAAAATCTACAGTCCGGCTGCACCGCCACCACGGTCCGCCAGGAACCATCGGGGAAGCATCTCACCCCTCTTCTTACACCTTCTCCAACTTGTTGTAGAAAACATCAAAATATAAATTATTATTATTATTATTATATTGTGCTTAAAAATCAACATCGTACGGTGACTGTAGTTCTCACATTTTAAACACCCCTCCCTCGCCGGTGTTGAAGGAACGTATTTATACTCTTCCGACTCCTTCCCCCAGTCGTCATCCCACCAGCCAGCGAGAATACCAAACCCACCACCACCCGATTATAGATCAAAGATGCATCTCACCCGCCTTCCACTCTTCTCATGTATTTTTCTTCTCCTCACAAGTGCCGTCAAAGCGTTGCCTCTGGACCCATCCTGCCTTCCTACGGGTTTCACTTGCTCTCCGCTGCCTTCGCCTTCGCCTTCGCCGGTGCCTCCTCCCTTGTCTTCAGCGCCCGAGTTGTTACCTCCCTCGTTGACGCCATCACCGTCCCTACCACCCTTACCATCACCACCATCGACACCATCACCCTTGTTACCACCAGCTTCGCCACCACCGCCATCACCTGCGTTGCCACCATCGTCATCGTTATCGCCATCATCAATTTCACCATTATTACCACCATCAGATTCACCTGCGTCGTCGGCGACACCAATGCCGCCACCGATTCCATCACCATCACCAACACCGTCACTTCCTTTTCCACCTCCATCGCCGGTGGCACCACCATCGCCAATAATTCCATCGCCAACACCATCACTACCTTTTCCACCCACATTGCCAGCAGTACCGTCGTCCCCAATTCTATCACCAGCACCCTCACCTCTCTCACCTCCATCACCGCCACCCATACCCACACCCTCACCCTCACCTTTTTCACCTCCATCACCAACACCCTCACCTCTCTCACCTCCATCACCGCCACCCATACCCACACCCTCACCCTCACCTTTTTCACCTCCATCACCAACACCCTCACCTCTCTCACCTCCATCACCACCACCCTCATCCTCACCTTTTTCACCTCCGTCACCAACACCCACACCTTCACCTTTTCCACCTCCAGAACCATCACCGTTGGCACCAGCGTCGCCAATAATTCCGTCGCCACCGCTGCCACCGTCTCCTTGGCCAGAGACAATGGTTGAGTACTTCGACCCCACCCTACCGCCTATCCTCCCCGCTCATGACCCAAAGTGCTCTGTCCCAATCCTCTTGCGGGACTTCGCCAACGCTGTTGGCGCTCCGCCAATCCATGCGAACTACAAGCCGCCGTTGAACTGCCCCGCCCCCTGGTCCCGGGTCATCCTCGAGCTCTCTGGTTCAGCTTCTGACGCTCAAAAGGACCGTATCGCCGCCGTCTGGCTCGGCGGTGCCGAGATCCTCCGGACCACCACGCCGCTCCCTATGGCTCCCGGCGCCTTTTGGCACGTCCATAAGGACATCACCCGCTACACGTCGCTCCTCCACATTGCCAACTCTTTCTCGATGATGCTAGACAACTCCTTTACCACCTTGCCGGGCGTCTACACCATCAACGTTACTCTCCACTTCTACCGCGGCCCCCTTTGCGGCAGCGTAATGCAATCAAACACGGAAACAACAGAGGCGAAGCTAAATTCTGTTCTCACTGCTTATCCAATCATCAAAGGTATCTACCGAGATCCGGCTGATCTCATTATCCCGATATCGAACGGTACCGGTGGCGCTGGCTTCTGGTTTCGGATTGAGAATGAGACTGATGTGCACACGACGGCCGTAGTCATCCCCAACAACACCTACCGCGCGGTGCTGGAGGTCTACGTATCCCACCACGGCGGCGACGAGTACTGGTACGCCAACCCCCTCCGCTCGGGCGACCTCCAGCTGAAGCCGGACGGCCTTGAGTCTGCAAAGCCGAACGGCGGCTTCCGCCAGGTAGTCGCCACCATTGATGGCCGCTACGTCGGCTCCGCGTTGCCGTTTCCTGTCATCTACCCGAGCTCAATCAATCCGTTCTTTTGGGCGCCGGTGACGCCCATCGGCGCCTATGACCACCCGTCCTACGATCTCGAGCTCACTCCGTTCATTAGCCTTCTCGTCGATAGCAAGCCGCACGAGTTCGGGCTCACAGTTCGAGACAGCCAGCCATACTGGCTGGTGTCAGCCAATCTCCACATATGGCTTGACGCGTGGTCTGACGCCGTTGAGGCAGGTTTGCTCCGCTACAAAGCACCACCACTCCGGTTGAGCCGGCAGGCCGACTGGGAGGCCAATGAAGGCAAGTCGGAGATCGAGGGGCAGGTCACTATACGATTCTCCGGTTGGGTTAACTCATACAGAGGAAATATAACCACCAGCGTCAGGCATAGAATCAAGTTCAAAAGTCACGTTGAGGTGGAGGAGAACGGCGAGTCGAAGAACATCGAGGTGGAGAGCAGGTCGAGGACAAATGTGAGGACCGTCAAGGATCACAAAGTGCTGCAGAGGGCGGCGATGGACATGGAGGCGCCGCTAGAGATGACGGTGATCACCACCAATGGCGGCGGCCGGTCGCTGTTCCACAAGACGAAGCTGGTGCACCAGCTGAAGGAGACGCGGAGCTTGATCGAGGGGAAGAATACGGCGTTCAGCACGCTCGCCGACCGGCAAGAATCGGAGGGCTCGGTGCTGACGGAGGACGGCGCGGCGCTATGGGGGAAAGGCGACACTAAGTCGACGTACAAATTCCGCGATGAAAAATCGTGTTACATGCGGACGGTAAACATGATCGGAGGGAAGGTCGAGGAGGACGAGGAGACGGCCTCATGCGTGGCGGTGGCTGCATCTTGATGAGGAAAGCTAAGAACTGGTGCGCCAGCAGACGTTAGAGACAATAAAGCATGTAGTAATGTATTTTTGTTTAGCTTGGCCGAAGGAGTATCTCCTCTCGGCTCTCGAATTCGCTTCTTCTTCTTCTTCTTCTTCTTCTTCTTCTTCTTCTTCTTCTTCTTCTTCTCCTTCTTCCTCCTCCATGTCATGGTTTGTACCTCAACCAATGTCGTCTTTTACCATTTCCCATATATATTTGCCGTGGTTAGTTTTGGTTCCAAATCTCCATTCGTGTTTTCCTCATATGGTTACCGTCGTCACTGTATGATATATGATATACTGATAGGGAACAAAAAGAAACAAATAACTTTCACAAAATATTATTATGTAATTTAATCAATAATTAATTCACCAATAGGATATTTAATATATTTAATTTTTTTTTTAAAAAAATAATATTTTAAATCTAAATAATATATATAAATTAATCTCAATATATATAGTAATTTTAATAGATTAATTACATAATTTAATTGATCCATCATACCTCTACTATATAATTCTGAAAAATTAAGAGATAATCATCATATGTTATTTTTTTATCATAATTAAATATTTTATCAAATATCTTTTTTATGCTCGTATAATTTATAAAAATTTAAATTTTATATGTATTTTAAAAACATGACTTATTAACATAAAATGCTAGCATACTTTTCATAACAACATACATGTATTTCAAATCACATAAAATACTAATGATATTTTTCAAATTAAAGCATAACTAATGTCATGTATCAAATTATATATATTTTTATAATGAAAGCATAAGTTCATGTATCAAATCACGAAACCTCTCTTTTTATACTTTTTGCAATTTAGTTCATGTACTTTCTATTTTCACATCCAATTCCTTTGGTAAAATTTAGATGTTATACGATACCTCCTCCTCCTCCTCTTTCAAGAGGAGAAGGCCTGTGAGCCGCACTGTACCAACAAAATAGCACTCCACGGCTTATCAGTCGACTAAGAGACATGGTGATACTATGACATGGATTTGGCAGTGGAACATGTGGCCATAGGTCTACTCTTTTGATTGGACGATCCCAACTTTAGAGAAGCATCCGATGATCTTAACTATTGAAGGACTGGATCCATCTATAGCAAGTTTGGAGACTATATATGTTCCCATCCATCTCTTTGCTCGCCGTTGGATGACGCTGGAGGCATGGACGGCCCAGGCGGGCAAAGATATCGCGTTGTCGGGCTCCTGGAGGACGGCAAGGGCGCCGCCCATGCCGACGCCTCTTTGGCGACCTCAACGTGGAAGAAAATGATTTTGATTCTGGAACCGTGATAACACCATGAAGACGATGCACAGGCGTGATATATTTCCAATCTTAGCTGGACCATCGGAGGAAAGGAAGGAAACAAGTAGTGAAACTTTGTCGACATGACCACTGATAATGGGTTAACCAGTCAAACATCCTGGACACAATTTGCCTGTTTAATCAAAGCCATCTACTAGGGATGCTATTTTGACGATGGAAGCGTTGGCTGTGAGGTTTGCTTGGGCATCACCGATGCCAACACGAACGCGTTGAGAATAATTTTGATGAAGCAACTTACGATGATACTACGCACTCCTCAATCCATGCGCAGTCTTTTGCCAGATTCCAATTACACAGCCCAAAACGCAGATGAGGTTCTTCGACTGTGCTTTACAAGATGATATTAAACATGAGATGCTATGCTAACCCGTTGAGAAATGTCTTTGCCGGATAGACAGATAGCTTTGCTTGCATGACACCTGAAATTATTGGAGGAATCTCTTGCGTTCCAGATAAATTACAAAACCGCAATAATGTGTCCAAAAATAGGGAGATTTGTAGGGGTGGCATTTGCCACTCTAGGGATTTGGGAAGGACTGAGCACCAGCATTGGATTCTGCTGCCCAACTTCAAGCACTATTTGGTACAAGATTGCCATTTCTAAGTGCAAGAAGAAGGAGGTAGCCCAACCATCAAGCACATCATCTGTTGGCTTCATGTGCTCCGGCTGATCATAAGCAACAAAGGATAAGCTTCTTTTATCGCCAGATTCATATTCTCATTAATCTTGAAATGAGTAGATTTTTCTTTGCTTAAAACCCGTACAATGTAGCAAACTTGGCCATTAAATAGTAGTGGGTTGCTAATCACGCTGACCCATAAATCATATTATACCTCAGCGGTGTTAATGGCAGGCCCATTAGATGATACCTATTCTCTAGCATTCGCTAAACTACTGTTGTCTTCGTCCTTTCAAACAATTTGTAGATTCTCGATCATCTATTTCTCATTAGTTATTTCTCCTGCGTTTGGTGTGTGGTGCGATGGTATGGACACACCACTCCGTCTGGTGCAAAGTTTGTCTCCGCCATGGATCGAAAAGGCATGCAGAAGATTTCTTTTCTTTTCTATAGGCTATAGTGAGGACTCTTGAGTGCACATTTAAACTCTTGAGTGATCGATAAATTTGTTGAATGATATGCAGCCTTCATCCCCAGATGCTGAAGAAATTCCTACTCCTTATTGCCAAAGGCATTTCTACTCTCCACAAACCACGATTCGTGGTTGCCAAAAAATGATGATGATGATAGAGTCTACGTTATCCACATCCCTCCCTTGTTTAAACATGCACAGAGACAGTAAGCAGCTTCCATTATTCGCTCGCATTTCCACTCTCCCGTGTTCCTATCTTTATTTGCTCAGTATCCTCGGTGCAGGAACAACCAGAGTTGAATTTGTGTCCTTCCTCCCAGCTCTCAACTAATCGAGCTTAAACTCGATGCCAGGTTAAGTAATCAAGGTTGGTTAGTGTGGAGAGAATCGGTTTCCATCTTTAATCGGTTCTTTTATTAGCCTAAACGCGAAGTCATTTTGTGATGGACACGATATGCTCGGATCTTTCTTTCTTAGGCAAGTGAAATTTCCATGTCGCCTCTTGACAAAGATCAGACACTTTAATTTCGAATAAAAGCTAATGAGGTAGTCCAAACAGAACCTGAATTTTATATTGAGGTCAAAATCAATGATGTAATTAGTCATGTTTGCAGCAAAAATATTGCTAGTTCGATAGAGTAGTAGCAAATAAGAATTAGCATTCGTACAGTCACTCTATCTCGAATTAGGTTTTCTTTTCTTGTTTTTACTCTTCATCTAAACTCGCTTCCATTGATGTCGAGCTTAATTCTGATTCAGCTCATGCCTAACATATCGATTCCAGCAGTGTTTCACCTTGGTGACTTGTATGATCTCACACGTAAACCAGGGCTTCAAAGAAATGGTATTTGAAGCAAACTTTAGGGCTACACCACCTCCGTATGTATTCCCTATGAATGACATAAAATATTGTCCTACATCTCAACCCACCATAGAGGGCCACCTACTTGATTACATCTCAACTCTACAGCAACACTTGGTCTCTCTCACTCTCTTCACCAACTTTTCCTCGCAAGCTCGACTCTATAGAACAAGAAGAAAGGAGTGGAGAGCAAGAGGGGTTTGAGGGAAAACGGATGCATCGCTTTGCAGTGTCCCAAACAGTAGCAGGTCGATAGAGAACAAGAGGGAAGGGAATTAATTCCACTGGTCTATGGAACCAGAAACCCAATCGGTCTCCGGCGGTGGAGGCGACGTCCCAACTCCGCCTCCGCCTTGTCAACCTCAGCAGCAGCAGCAGCAGCAGAAGCCAAGCCGGTACGAGTCGCAGAAGAGGCGGGACTGGAACGCTTTTCTACAATATCTGGCGAACCACAAGCCGCCGCTGACGCTGGCGAGGTGCGGCGGTGTGCACGTGGTGGAGTTCTTGAATTACCTGGACCAGTTCGGGAAGACGAAGGTGCACACGCATGGGTGCAACTACTTCGGCCACCCGAGGCCGCCGGGGCCATGCGAGTGTCCCACGAAGCAGGCTTGGGGCTCGCTCGACGCCCTCATCGGGCGACTCCGGGCGGCCTACGACGAGAACGGAGGCGGCCGCCCGGAGTCCAATCCCTTCGGTGCCAGGGCTGTCAAAGCTCACCTCCGGGAAGTCAGGGAAAGCCAGGCAAAAGCTCGTGGCGTGGCCTATGAGAAGAAGAAGCGGAAGCAGCGCCTGCCCTTCACCGTAGGGGAAGGGAGCTCGAGAGGTGCAGAGGATAATATCACTAGTACTGCTCCAGTGACGGTGGCAACAAAGGTGAAGCCGGAGACTGCTTCCGCTAGCGCTTCTAGTTCTACTGGAAGGGATCCAGATCCAGGGAGTTGGTCGGCTTCATGAGTGCAGATTTCTCTCTCCTCTATATTTTACTTTCAGTGCATCATAGTTATTCTTGGTTAAGCTGTTAGAAGTAGAGGGTAACAGTTAAGCTTGCGACTCAACGACACAGTTTTTCCTTGTGTTCTAAGGAAGACATGTATATAAAGAAGTTCTTGACCAGTTAGAATTTAGGAGTTTTCTTGGGGTTTGACATGCCTCTTCCTCTACTCCTCATCCTTAATTTTGAACTGAGATACGAGGGGAGGGCACCAAAACTCTATTGATCGATGTCTCTTTCTTAATTATTTGATAAATTAGTGTTGTCGTCAGCGTGCATGTTGCAGTAAACTCTTGTGGTTGTTTGTATCGGAAAGAGCATGCTGTGAATTAAGTAAGTCCATCGGTTTGCGCATGTTTTAGTTCTCATCTGGCAATCAGTTGGTGTTCTTCGGTGATTGTATCCTTGAAAGCAAATTAACTACTGAAGTATTACAAACTCTGCTGCTGCTGCTACCGCTGCTTTGATCTGTCTGGCTCATTTTCGTGCTACACGGGTGGTTCCGATAGCAAAGTCTTTTTTATTTTATTTGACATTCTTCTTCAAGCAAGATGATATAAATCCCCCCTTCCTCTTCATCAGATTATACAGCTATTGCTATATGGCATCGTTATCGTTTTAAAAGCTGTATATGCTGCCAATATTCGTAAAAAAATGTACTCCATCCGTGTCTCCAACATCGAATGAATATATTAGCCAGACTTTGTTGCGTAATTGAAATTTTGATCTTTACCTGACGTCAAAATTCTTGACCTTTGGAGAGCACACAAAAGTCTGTATCTAAAGGGTTTCAGAGAGAGAATCTGCATGCTTTTCCCTGAAAACATAAAGTGCATTTAAATAATACCTGGTGTTCAAACCAATATGAATACTGGAACGTATGTAATATGGGAATGGACATTTTTGGAGTGATATGTGATATAGCATTTTTTTTTTTCCTTCTGATTCCTGTATTAATATATTGGTGGAACCCTACTAGCTCTGGTGATATCCAACAAATTCACCTCAGATTCAGTGCCCCTCACCTTAATTATCATGACGCACGATGCCATGAAACACTATGATCATGAGATGTAAAAAGAACCATTACAGAAAAGAATAATAAGTATTTGATCCATTCAGTGATGGTCGACGGAGATCATAGAGATAGATGTTGTAAGTGTACATACATATAGTGCCGGAGATCATCATCACCCGGAATAAGTTGTGCACACCATGAACCAGACTCTTTCTTGTTACCGATCCAACATCAAAGGCAACAAACAGCAGCAAAGACAGACACCTTTTGCCGCTGTGGATGCTGGACGAGGAGGTTTGGCTTTGTGGGTGTGCTCAATGCTGAAGGAGAGCCTCGCCTCCGATAACAAGTTGCCGGTTCCTTGCAAGGATAAAAGTAGTAGTTGTGAAAAGACGCGAGACGAGGGCACATCAGCTCTGTGGTTGGAGGGTGCTTATTCTTTAAATAACGCACAAACATTTGCCTCCAAGCAATTCGATCGCCACCTCCAATTAAGAAAGTAAACAAAAGGTTGCTGTCATGCCCGACTTGTGGAGCACCTGAAGGAAATCAACATCTGCCGGGCTCTTTCTGCAGAAGATCGTACAACAACCATGGTGGAAAGATGCGCATCAGAATTGACTAAGACAGAATAATTAAAGAAATAAATTTACAGACCAACTAATAAGCAAAAAAATTAGTAATCTTTTTGTTTATGTTCACGAAGAATATTTATTTTATTTAATATATAAATTAATTATAAAATTATTAAGTTCCTCCTCACACAAGCACGATTTGAAGAATTTTTCTCTCAGGTTTTTCCAGATCTATTAGAGAAAAACTTTCCAAGTACATCTAAAATATTTTTTTATCTCTTATTTTTAGAAGAATTAAATCATAATTCTCGTGACTCTTTTTCATATAAGGATTCGTCATCCTCTCATTCTGGCTCTATAATCCTAAGTTACTTATCAATCCTGAAAAATTATGATCTCAATGACTATAAAAGATAATATTATTAATTAAAATAATTAGAACTTATAATTTCACTTTTGCTGTTGGTGATAAAAGGATCTTAGTCACCATCTTATAAGATGGTGAAAATTCTTAGTTAATTCTTTGATTTAAATCTAAAAATATCTATTCGATTATCAAAGATTGTGCAAATCCTTTTTTGTAATAAGACTTAAGGGAAGACTCTACACGTTCCGCACCAGTGGTCTAGTGGTAGAATAGTACCCTGCCACGGTACAGACCCGGGTTCGATTCCCGGCTGGTGCAGATTCTTATATTTTTGTTTTGGCCTGCTACAATTGTCAAGCTAAACAAATCTAGCGAGGTGAAGCCGCTACCGCTAAGTTAATGGCAGGGCGTTGTAGGCTGTGGCCCCTATCAAGAAAAGAGCTAAATATGAATGAATTATGATGCGATAAGAAGAAGAGTTGACAAGACTGATAACTTGCGCAAGAAATTGCAGAGAAGCGTTGGGATCCTACATATGAATGATGATATGCAGATACCATGAATCCCATTGAACTGATTCCTTCTTCTCTTTGTGCACCATGCAGGGTATGTAGAGGGCCAGCTCTAGATTCAGGATTTAGAGTCCTCGGCGACCATGGCGAGGATGTCTTTCACCGGGTTCCAGTTTGTGATATTGATCTGCGCTGTCAAAGCAACAACGCAAATCAAGAAAAAGGGAAAAGCACAGGACCGGGTTCCAGTTTGTGATATTGATCTGCTCTGTCAAAGCAACAACGCAAATCAAGAAAAGGGGAAAAAGGGAAAAGCACAGGAAGCAAGCAATCAAGATTCTTAACAAGATAACGAAGTGATCTACGCTGTCAAAGCAAATCAAGAAAAGGGGAAATGGAAACGCAAAGGAAGAAAGATATCAAGATTCTTAACAAGATAACGAAGTGAAAAGAGGGTTAGGGTTTTGATCTGCGCCAACCACGCGGATCAAAAGAAGGCAAACACACAAGCAAAGAAAGAAATCAAGAAGACTAGCGAAGACATAACTGGACGAAAAGAGGGTTAGGCTTTCGTCGATCGATCGACATGGAAGATGATGGGACTTACCCGAATCGGAGATGAGGGGATTGCCCCGACGCCACCGGCTTCCATCTCGACCTCTTCCTCCACCGTGACAATTTCTTGATACACACACATCGAGATCTGAGATCGAGTGGCTTCCTGGGAAGCGAGGGCGGGAAGGGAAGGGAAGGGGGTTTGAATCAGACTCGGAGGTGGGCGTGCATGAATCAAAGAGTGATACGAGAAACATTTCCTATCAATCAAAGTGTGATACATGCTTGGATCATAAGTTGTCATGTTAGAATAAAATATAATGAAATGTATCAAAATTGACATTTAAAAGTAATCCCTTTCATAAGAGGTCAGAACCATAAATACATTATTCAGCTACATGGGTAATTTTTATTTTTTTTCATATTTAATATATTTATTATCTATATAAACAACAGTATCAAATGAATCTCATCAACCGGGCTACTTACATATTCTCCCATGTTAGTTATTATCTTTATATTTTTAAAAATTATATTCGAATTTCTATACTTATAAAATTAAAATAAACTCTGTTTCTCCTCACGTCGTCGTCGATTCTATTGATGAAAATATCGCTTATACTATAACACATGAAAAATGTCATCAAAAGAATGTTAAAAAATAATTTTACAATGATATTCTTAGCAGTCGAGAAACCAACAACTCCACAACTTCACCTTCTAACAAAATATCTAAAAACATAAAAAAAAAATTAGAACAATTCAATACCATTGTTTCATTTAGTTTTTCAACAAAATCCCTTTTTTTTCTCCTGAATTTTTTTCTTTGGATGATGAGAATACTAGCACTATGAAACTATATTTTTAACACTATTTTATTTTTTATATATGGCAGTATATGTGGTATTTCTGTTAGTAGAGCTAACAAGAAGAAACATGATTAAATATTTTATTTTTTAAATATATAAAATATTAATATAATATTAAAAAAATATAAAAATTAAGATGATAAAAAAGAATTAATTACAAGAAATAATATGTAATTAGTCTTGAACCGTTATATATCTACAAATCGGGCATTACTCCGAACAGCCTTCTAAGCTGGAACTATGGGCCAAACTTTGACGGCCTTCTACGATGATTGTGCCAATGTGGGAAAGCCCGCTACACAGGCTTGAACGAGAGCCAGCCCAGACTGTTGAGTATTTCCCCCTCCCGTCGGATGGCTTGGGGCCGAGGGCGGCGGAGGCCCATCGCAAGCAACACCCCAAAGGCGTGGTGTGAATCCAACTGCTAAAACACAGAGACACACACACCTCAATACTAATTCAATTTCAACGAGATCCTTTCCTACCTGGAAGGGCAAAATAATAATCATGATAGTAATAATGACGGCCACCAATTTCACGCTGGAAACCGCGAACGTATGAGAGGAAAGAAGCCAATAACAACCACGACAAAGTCGTGCACCAAAAATAATAATAATAATAATAAAAGATAAAAGAAAAAGCAAAACCCGTCACTAAAAGTTTCAGTAGAAGGTGGCAGTCGCCGACAACTTGGACTTGGGGGTTGCAGGCTTGAGAAGGAAGTAACACAAAGGACGCATAGGCTTTAACTAATCGTATCCAAGTCTACGGAGACTTGAATGTGAACTGAATGAATCGCCTTCGAAACAGTCTTCAACCACCAAAAGCTGTTCGATTCTTCGTGCTAAATCTTTTCTTCCTCTTGGTTGGGCAGCCGAATCTGTGCGATATGATAGGGAGTGGCAGAAGATTTTTGACTGCCCAGTCTTGTCTAAGCACGTAGCAAATGTCGTCGGGTGGGACTGTGGAGATCATTACATGCACCGCTTTGACGCATTCTAATAATACCTAACGTTGTCATCGACGACGTTAAAACTGATGTTCTATCGTTTTTCCCAAACCAATTATTGGCTCAAGGTGTTACATAAACTGACGGTGAGAGTCCATAAAACATGGCGACTGCAGCTTTTGACACGCACGACAGTGATCGACGTTCTGCACTCACTCTTTTCAGTCGAAATAACACTCGTTTTCTTCGACTTGTTTGCTCATGCTATCAAGTGCCGTGATTGTTGCCTCTCTAGCCCTAAAAAGTCCACTTGTTTTGTTGCAGCAGGTTTGGAGGAAGGATCTATCAGCATTGATAAAGATGTTAACTCCTCAACTAAACAAGTTGGACTGTGGATCGATCGTGGTCGTGGTTGGACGAAGAAGAAAGGATGCATGTCGTCAGATCCGACTATAAACTGGAACAAAAATCAGATCCCCAGGATATAAACCTAAAGTTGCTGAATGCGATGCACGATGGAGGGCTGATTTCAAGTTCAGGTAGATTTGAGCATTTCGTGGTGCGTCTGTGTGTCTGTCTCGATCACGACTCGGGTCATGACCTATAACAACGCTAGCTCAATTATTTTTCTTAAATAATAATAAGGTACAAAGAAATCAATTTAATGATTGGCCACCGATGACTTTTATCAAAACGCTGACCTTCTTACACTAAGAAAAACAAAACTACTTGTCATCGGCAACCTCATGAAAGAGTCGAGTCACGGAGACACAGACCATTCTAAGGTCAGAGACTTCATGTAGTTTCTTCTCCATCAAGTATCACTTTATCATCTCTGTCGATGATGAAACCCCCATTATGGAGAGAAAATTGATGGAGAACCACGGTGGGTGGGTGCATGCATGCTGTGGTTCTTCTTCTTGGAAGAAGCAGAAGCAGAAGCAGTCGCTGTACGTCTGTCATGATGCTTTACCTCCAATGTCAAACCCGGCCGCGCTTCCTTCGCATCTAATCAAGCTTATGTGTCGCACTTTCGTCAAACTTGCCCAAATGAATCGCTGCCAATCAGGGGTGAACAGTAATGGATATTGCAGCCCACCAACAGGTCGTAAGAAATTTGCTTTACAGCTAGCTAGCTAGCTTCATGCTTCTTCCTATGGATATATATACCACCCAATATCTGGCTCGATCTTCCCAACCCAAACGCGGATAGAGTTACACTACAAGGAGAGGTATGGCCGCGACCTATGTCTCCGTTGTGCTGCTACTTTCGGTTTTGGGGAGCGCATCTGCGCAGCTCTCCACCGGCTTCTACTCCTCGTCGTGCCCCAGTCTGTCGTCGACGGTGAAGCCAGTGGTCCACTCCGCCATCTCCAGCGAGCAGCGGATGGGCGCCTCGCTGCTTCGCCTTTTCTTCCATGATTGCTTTGTCAACGTACGTACGCAGGCATGCTCTGTAGCTAATCATTCAGCTGCTCTGCTATGTCGCAAGCTGATGCAGAGGTTTTAGAACCATGTTCTCATTTTTTGACCGGCCACACGCCGTGCGTAGTCCATCTACGAAGGAGCGTGGACTTACCCTCTTGCAGTGCTGACCTCTTGTTATCATGCTCTGATAAAATGCATCGACCATGATTCTGTTTACAGGGGTGTGATGCGTCGTTGCTCTTGGATGACACATCAAACTTCACGGGGGAAAAGACCGCAACTCCCAATCAGAATTCAGTGAGGGGATTCGACGTGATCGATAAGATAAAAACGGCGGTGGAGAAGGCATGCCCGGGAGTGGTCTCCTGCGCCGACATCCTCGCTATCACTGCAAGAGATGCGGTGGCCATCGTAAGTACCACTCGCAACACTCCGCCTTTCCACTTTCTTTTTTGCCACCTCGATCTATTCTTGTCGTAGACTAAGAATCGGATGGTAAATGTCTGTTTGACGGTGAATGCAGCTAGGTGGGCCTAATTGGGATGTGAAGCTGGGAAGAAGGGACGCGAAGACTGCAAGCCTCTCCGGGGCTAACAATAACATCCCACCCCCATCCTCCAGCCTTAGCAATCTCATCTCCAAGTTCTCAGCGCAGGGTCTTTCCAGACAGGACATGGTTGCACTTGCAGGTTTGACTCCCCTCTTTAACTCCGGTACCGATTCCTCTCTGTTTTCATCGTTACCACCGTACCAAACATATCGTATGACAATATTTAGTGGTATTGTGAATCAGCCTTTCTCTCTGGCAATGCATTCCTTTCTAAAACAATTTCGACTTCCATAAATTGTCATACGATACGTTCCAGAAATTCCTGACCGATTGATTCTATTGGTGATGGGAAACACTACTGTCGATCGGTAAAAGATATTTTTAAGTGGCAAATGAGTTCAAGAACTCAAAAACCTCTTAGAATCAGACGGCATTAGTTAGATGGGCTGCTACTTTGTCCCGATACAAGTACTCTATCTTCTCCTTGTAACAGGAGCGCATACCATCGGCCAAGCCAGATGCATCTCCTTCAGATCCCGTATCTACAACGACACCAACATCGATAGCTCCCTTGCCACAACCAGGCAGTCCAACTGTCCCAGCACCTCCGGCTCAGGCGACGGCAACTTGGCACCGCTGGACCTCCAAACTCCGACCACCTTCGACAATGACTACTTCAAGAACCTGGTCAACCTCAAGGGCCTCCTTCACTCGGATCAACAGCTGTTCAGCAACGGATCCACTGACTCCCTGGTGAAGACTTACAGCGCCAGCCCGAGCAAGTTCGCGTCGGATTTTGCCGCAGCTATGATCAAGATGGGGGACATCAGCCCTCTCACGGGCTCCCAGGGGGAGATCAGGAACAACTGCAGGATGGTCAATTAAGGTTATACATGAACCGAGTAAAGAAAAGGATATAATATTTTGCATTAATCAGTACTAATAATATGGTAGATAGCCCCGGTCGTCAGTACTACTGTCCATCGTCGTTGAACTTTTATGGTTTTCCGTGGAGCAGTTCGAAGTTTTTTATGTAACATCATATGAAGTCGAGTCTCGTTGGTGTTCTGTACCGTGCACTGTCCCTTTCCTCGACCTACCAAAGAGATATATGTGCTCTGCTCCAGCCTCTGGATCTGCCTTCTCTGTTGGAAATTAGCTCGTTCAGTGGATTACTTTTCTTACGATCTTATGTTGGGAAGTGTTTCACCTTTTCATCCTTTGCCAAGTGCTAACAACAGTTTCAATCAGGGGTGATTGAAACTGTTGATTCTCTAAAGCACAACTTTTGGGTTTCGTTAGACATGCAACGATCACCTTTTGAGAAGGCTCAATTAAAATCCCCGAGGCTTGGCAGCGACTGCTCCTTTACGATCGAAGATAAGTTGCTGATGCAGATGACAAAAGCAGGAGAAGGCTTCGCAGTAACTACTCCGACAGGCCCAAACATGTGTCGAATCCATTGGTTGATCCTCTAGCGAACCCAAGAGAAGATTTTGCTTTGTTACAGTTGCATTGACATAGAACTTGGCAAGAATCACTCGTTGAAAAGCAAACTTGTGAGGCATCTATCTCCCGAGCTAAAAAAGATTACCTGACTGTTCTATACTAGGGGATACGTCAATGGATCTCATCAATCGGAGCGAGCCTCTTTTCCTGTGTCACCACTTACACCACGCGTCGAGTATGAAATATTGGCGAAGAAGATGGGTTTGTGGTGTCGCATGAATTATGCTAATGCAAATACTTTTAGAACAAATATTTGAGACACCGATCTGTAACTGTTACCGTATACGTCTTTTCTTTTATGCGTACGTTTGAGAATTACAACCGGAGAGTTTGTCCCACGAAGTTACAATTTGGACAGCAGTAACTTTGCCGACCACCTGACGACCCATACCAACCGTGGGCTCCCTATGAGCGCTACCGAGTAGCATCCTTGAGCCCACACGTGGCTCCCTGTCGCGCCATGAAGCAGAAGAACGATGTCGGAGAAGCATCACCGGCGATCGAAGCCTTTGGGGAGGAGGTGGAGATAGACGACTCCGATGGCGATATCAACGTCATGGAAGACGAAGATGGCCTCTGTAACTTCCTCAGTATGAGCTTAGGCAGTACGGCACGGATGAGAGTGGGCTTGGTGGACTTCTTGGGTTCTCTGTTCCTGGGGCTGGAGAAAAAAGAGGGTGGTGGGCTGAGGGGAGGGAGGGTGCCGTCGGAGATGATGTTCTTGGGTGTTCCAGGCTCAGACTCCCACAGGAAAGGCACAGCTCCAGCGGCCACTCCATAGTAGACTCTAAGGGAAGGATTGGCCGAAGAGTTTTCTCTGGAGAGCAGCCTCGAGTGGAACTTATCATCCTGCTTGAAAAGGAGGTCGTCGTCGGAGAGTTCTGAGCAACGGGATAGCATCCTAATTTAGGTGTGATGAGAAGATAGAGAGAAAGAAACGAGCAAAGAAGGAAATAGCACCTCACCTCCGGTGAAGGAATGCCGGAGCCTTCCGAGTGATACATATATCAGAATAGGCTATGAAAGAAGCTGCCGCATGCAGTATAGATAAACAATTTGGGTTATGCTTCCTCGACAATTCTTTTTATATATAAAGAAAAAGGCAATTTGGTTGTTGACTTGAGGAATGGTGTGATGGTTCACCTCTTGATTAGTATTTGACCCCCTCCCCCCCCCCCCCCCCCACACACAAACAATATGGTGATAAGATCAAGTGCTTGGTGTTTGATGATGGAAGTGGGGACGATCGATCGAGGAGCTGTTCCTTGTTGGTTCAGCGAGATAGATGGTGGGCCCCATCAACTGAATCGATGCTTATGTTTGTCTCGGGCTGCGGTGAGTAGTAGGACAAGCAGGGATGATGATGATCGTAGATAAGTAGACTGCCTGCGACAACGAGGGTGACGGCAGGGATTAGGTTGGGAGTAGTTTAAGGATTAGGTTGATGTTAGATAGATCGTAATTAAGGGTGAAAAGTTGAGGTCGATGGAGAAGGGGTGTCGAATCAAGTTGTTGATGGTGATGAAGCATAAGGAAACGGCTTGCACGAACCGGCAGTGTCATACGTAACGTTGCACACAAATAAATCGCAAGTTGCATGAACCGGCCGCCGGGGAAGACTCGTAGAATAATCATACTATACTCTCTCTCTCTTATATACATTCTTTTACTAAGAAGGAGAAATATTGGTGTCCTGGAGATCATCATATGCACCGAACGTCCATCATTTGTGTTCTTATTCTATTAGTATACTCGTTCGTACGTGTTGAATAAAAAAAAAACCCATCTTGCAGCCTTCTTCTTATATCATATGAATACGAATATTTCTTTACTATCGTAAAACTGAAATTCAATATCTTGATTCATACATCTTTAAAAGTTATATTTAAATTTTTATACTTAATACTTACGAAACTAAAATATTTAGTTTCGTTTCTTTCGTCGATTCTTCTGATGAAAATATCATACATATTTAGTAATAAATCAAAGTGAAATATAGTCAGTATGTACTCGGTGATAAATCTCGTGATATTTTTATTAATAGAATCAACGATGTGGGGAGAAACATAATTAAATATTTTATTTTCGTAAGTATAACGATCTCAACATAATTTTTAAAAATATAAAGATCAAAATACTAAGGGTAATAAATTACAGAAAAGACTATCTTTCTCCTCTCACCCTCTCTTCCCGTTATTAGAACAAGCAAAGCTGAATATACCATTTGGGTTAAGTACAGTGACCATCGAAAAGCAATGAAGCACCAGTGAGGTCGAGGAGAGTACTGTACTCTCTTCTTCCTCGATGAAAGTAACAAAAGAATCTATCGTGACTTTTTCTTTTTTTTACCGTAAAGCAATTAATAACTGCAAAAGGTTTAATATATCACCAACAATGATGTATAGCGGTCTTACACCGAGATTAGTGATTTAGAATAGCATCGTGGATGCATGTTATCCGCATTCATCTTAAACTTCTCTCTCTCTCTCTCTCTCTCTCTCTCTCTCTCTCTCTCTCTCTCTCTTTAATCCTTCACATTTAAATTCAATTGTTTCCATATTAAGGGTTTGGCC